TTTCTCTTCTAGTCTCTTTCTTTGACAACATTGTTTGTGTCCATGAATGATAGCATAATTTATCTTTCATGTACTGCATTCACATTTCCTTTGAAGGGTCTACACACATTGGGACCTCAAATAAATTATTGCTCACTTTTGCTCCTAAGGATCCCTCAGAACGAGTACATTATAATGTACATGCATGTCAAAGAGCCCCATGATGAAGTGAAATGCATGGTGGGATGCTGCCACTGAGAATAAAGGGCCTAACATGAAATCCATATGCTTAACATGCTTTTGCATAAGTCATGCATTGATAACAATGGGACAAGTTATGCCCATGGATCTTATGTTAGGATTCAACCCAGAGCGATAATGCATTCTACTGCTAATACCCCGTCTTACATATTGGTGTGAAAGAGGAGGCACAGTTATACACTTTAATTTGCCTCGTCTATGCAGAAAATACCATGGAGATTGTAATGCAAGAGGGCCTCGTTTGCATTAGAATATATTTTTTTTGCATCGTAGCTCAAAATTATTAAAGACCCAATACTTATTTTTCTACGGTCAGCAATTTGTGAAGATTATGCACTAAAGGCACTCCAACAATAGATGTCCTTATGTGCAGTGGGAGTGGGAGAATGTGGTCAGGAGCAAGTGGGCATTTGAACAGGATACTGCTGCAGAGTACCACTCTACATATTCTATGACAAGGTTATTAAAGGAGCAATCTGGGATTGGTACATCCTTTTTTGGACTTTTAAAATAATGATACACTACATGACGAAAAGTATGTGGACACTTGCTCGTCCCCCCTTTGCTGCTATAACAGTCTCCACTCTTCTGGGAAGGCTTTCCACTAGATGTTGGAACATTGCTGCGGGGGCTTGCTTCCATTCAGCCACAAGAGCATTAGTGAGGTCGGGCACTGATGTTGGGCGATTAGGCCTGGCTCGCAGTCGGCGTTCCAATTCATCCCAAAGGTGTTCGATGGGGTTGAGGTCAGGGCTCTGTGCAGGCCAGTCAAATTCTTCCACACCGATCTCGACAAACCATTTCTGTATGGACCTCGCTTTGTGCACGGGGGCATTGTCATGATGAAACAGGAAAGGGCCTTCCCCAAACTGTTGCCACAAAGTTGGAAGCACAGAATCGTCTAGAATGTCAATGGTATGCTGTATGTAGCGTTAAGATTTACCTTCACTGGAACTAAGGGGCCTAGCCCAAACCATGAAAAACAACCCCAGACCATTATTCCTCCTCCACCAAACTTTACAGTTAGCACTATGAATTCGGGCTATGCATTCGGGCAGGTAGTGTTCTCCTGGCATCCGCCAAACCCAGATTTGTCCATCGGAATGCCAGATGGTGAAGTGTGATTCATCACTCCAGAGAACTCGTTTCCACTGCTCCAGAGTCCAATGGCGGTGAGCTTTACACCACTCCAGCCGACGCTTGGCATTGTGCATGGTGATCTTAGGCTTGTGTGCGGCTGCTCGGCCATGGAAAACCAATTTCATGAAGCTCCCGACGAACAGTTCTTGTGGTGAGGTTGCTTCCAGAGGCAGTTTGGAACTCGGTAGTAAGTGTTACAACTGAGGACAGACTATTTTTACGCGCTATGCGCTTCAACACTCGGCAGTCCCATTCCGTGAGCTTGTGTGGCCGACGACTTGGTGGTTGAGCCTTTGTTGCTCTTAGTTGTTTCCACTTCACAATAACAGCACTTACTGTTGACCGGGGCAGCTCTAGCAGGGCAGAAATTTAACTAACTGACTTATTGGAAAGGTGGCATCCTATGATGGTGCTACGTTGAAAGTCACTGAGCTCTTCAGTACGGGCCATTCTACTGCCAATGTTTGTCTATGGAGATTGCATGGTTGTGTGCTTGATGTTATACACCTGTCAGCAACGGGTGTGGCTGAAATAGCCGAATCCACTAATTTGAAGTGGTGTCCACATACTTTTGTATATATAGTGTATATAGGCCCCATCCCTTAGCTGTTTACAAGAATGTGACGGTGGACCACTTTATTGTTGTTTGTTAAAGTTATCTTTCCCTACTTTGGCTTTCTTTTTTTACTGCTCTTTCTTATCAGTATAACTGCCATTTTTTTGTGGAAAGAATATAGGCAATTCTGAATCCTCCAGAATTCACTATAACCTCTGTTCTGTGATGTCCCTCTTTTTGTTGGATTACTTATGCTTATAAGAACCGAGGTCGGGGAATTTGATATAGTTTAATTGAACTTTACTTAGAGTACGCTGGCAATACATGGTTATTCACAAGGCTTCCTAGCACAACTATCGGTCCCGTGTAAAACATGGAACTGGAATATTTCTGTACAAATACACGGACTGGATTACGGAATAATGTTCACAACATTACATGTACAACAGACATTTATTTTCTGTACTTGTGCTCTTATAAATATTCATTTTGAATATCGGCCTGCATTATTTGCATGCATTTTATGTAGAAGAAATTCTCATGCAAACACAAAAACTAATCCGCTCTCAATTGTCTTTAATGCGACCGTGTGTTGCGCAAACACAGCGTGTGTATTATTGATGCAACGCAGCTGGAGAAAGGGGCTCTAGCACAAGCCTGTCTCTCTTGTCACACTGCACTCAGTCTGCATTCATTCACACAGGCACGAGGCTTGCAATTCCCCCGAGCAGTCTTTAAAGGCCCAGTGCAGTCAAAAATGTGATTTTCCTGTGTTTTATATATATTTCAATACTATATGGTTGGAATAATATTGTGAAATTGTTAAAATCATGATAATGCCATTTTAGTGTAAGACCTGTTTGAAAAGACCGCCTGAAAGCTGTCTACTGACACACAGATACACACCCAGAGGTGTCATGCCCATAGGGGCCACAAGGGCACGTGCCCCCTCAGATTTGTCCTGTTTTTTATTTTTCAAACGTTAAATTAATTACTCAATTTAATTGTATTTCTCTTTATCATAATTATTTATTTTTAAAAAGATCTGTCAGCGGTATTTTGCGGAGGGGGCACACACATAAAGAGGTATGCTTAGATAACCCATGCAGAAAAATATACATAGTTTTTACATAGAATTAGGCATAATGATTATTGCTCTAGATTGCAGGAAAATGCTGTTTCAGGTGTTTGAAAAATGCACCCTTGGATACACCACCCAAAGTGCTAGAAGCCGGAATTCAGCACACGTAACGTACACCACTCAAACTGCCTTAAAGCGTCTTAGACACATACTCACAGACTTCTAACCACTCATGGTGAATGGATACACACCACTCAAAGGGCTGTGTGGCTGTTTTTATATATCGGTTATGTCATCTAAGATGCTGCCGGATCAAGCCAGTACAGCTCACGTGGAGTATCTTTTTTCCTTTGAACATCTTGAATAGCTACTACGTCTCTGCATCTAATGTGCATCTACCATCTGATGTTACAGGTATCGAATTACGAAGAAGGGGCCCTCTAAAAGTTTCATAAGCTTCAATGCAGTCCGTGACAGCAGGCAGAGGGGATTCGATGAGTCGACGTCGATGCAGTCGTTATCTCTGTTTCATATATATTTCAATACTATATGGTTGGAATAATATTGTGAAATTGTGAAAATCATGATAATGCCATTTTAGTGTAAGACCTGTTTGAAAAGACTGCCTGAAATTTCAGCCTGTTGCGGTAGGATAGAGTTTTGGCCTGCCTGGTGACATCACCAGGCGGTAAATTAGTTAATAGACCAATAAGAAAGAGTTCCAAACCTCTGCCAATAACAGCTAGTTTACGGTTTTCCCCTCCCTACTCAGACCACTCCTAGACAGTCCTAGCAATATTCTTGCTTGAGAAATTGCTCTTTGCTAAGAAGCTATTTTTGTTTCTTTATGACCATTTTAATTGAAAACAATCACAGTAAGTTGATTTTATTGAGATATAAACGGCTGCATTGGACCTTTAAAACAAACACACACACAAATGCAAGTCATTCTGCTGCACAGCTGTCTACTGACACACAGATACACACCCAGAGGTGTCATGCCCATAGGGGCCACAAGGGCACGTGCCCCCTCAGATTTGTCATGTTTTACTAATTTTAAATGTTAAATTAATTACTCAATTTAATTGTATTTATCTTTATCATAATTATTTATTTATTTTAAAAGATCTGTCAGCGGTATTTTGCGGAGGGGGCACACATATAAAGAGGTATGCTTAGATAACCCATGCAGAAAAATATACATTGTTTTTACATAGAATTAGGCATAATGATTATTGCTCTAGATTGCAGGAAAATGCTGTTTCAGGTGTTTGAAAAATGCACCCTTGGATACCCCACCCAAAGTGCTAGAAGCCGGAATTCAGCACACGTAACGTACACCACTCAAACTGCCTTAAAGCGTCTTAGACACATACTCACAGACTTCTAACCACTCATGGTGAATGGATACACACCACTCAAAGGGCTGTGTGGCTGTTTTTATATATCGGTTATGTCATCTAAGATGCTGCTGGATCAAGCCAGTACAGCTCACGTGGAGTATCTTTTTTCCTTTGAACATCTTGAATAGCTACTACGTCTCTGCATCTAATGTGCATCTACCATCTGATGTTACAGGTATCGAATTACGAAGAAGGGGCCCTCTAAAAGTTTCATAAGCTTCAATGCAGTCCGTGACAGCAGGCAGAGGGGATTCGACGAGTCGACGTCGATGCAGTCATTATCTCTGGGATGGCATTTTCCGACCTAATTGGCAATAGGTCATGTAGTTCCCCGATGTGTTTCCCTGCTCATCCCATAAACAACAGTTCCTGCCGGCAGCTTTGTTATGTCCTCTTAGTTAGAGATGTCCTCATCCTTCCTCGCTGCCTGCTCAAAGTCATGTCACACTTGGCTATCAACTTTTTTGAAGTAATGGTATACTGTTGTGTATCACAATACTATTGTACAGTATTAGGATCTGTTTACCAGTTGGTTGTGTAACTTTGTTCTTTGGAAGATTCCTTACCAAAGCAAACATTCTTATCCAGAGCTCATGAATCCCAAACACTGATCCCAAAGCAAAGTGTCTGTCTGTCTGTCTGTTTGTCTCTCTGTCTGTCTGTTCCTTACCTTGAGGTTGTGTCTGTGAGCAGCGTCCAGGACGGCCGGCACCAGGTCCTCTGTGGGCTCCCCGTTGTCATCGGCCAGGCCTGGAGGATACCAAGACAGCACCAGCACCCCTAGACCACACAGGAGAAGTCTCTCTCAGTCTCCACACAGGACCTTTCAGGTTGGCTATACCACACACATAGAAATACAATTACTAGAATGGGGAAATAAAACGACTAGAAAGGGAAAAGCCCCTCATAGCATGGCAATTTTACAATACACTCAATATGGCTGCTGGTCCACTTATCACAGAATATTGACTTCAATGGGATTGTCCAATCTAGTCATTCTATTTCAATGACCACACATCTCTGATACCCAATTCTGAACCTCATGATCTCTCTGTTACATCCTTTTAAGTCTTATTGGTCAGTGTGATGTTGACACTGATATATGTGATTGTTGCCTAAGGGTTCCAGATTGGCTTGAAGGACTTATTGATGTGATTGCTGCCAGTTGTAGGCCTACAATAGGATCTCTATGGGCCAACATCTCTCAAGAGTTCCACTGACTTGAATGACTAACTTTGATGCATATAGGCTATATATTCTGCCAGATGTATATGGCTATGGCTCATTTGGAATACATTGCTTGCATTGCACATTGCTCGTGCTGTCTGTCTCCCTTATTCCAACAGACAACCATTCTACTGTATCTTTAGACAGCATAAGTGATGCCTCATATCTGACTCATGAAACATGCCTTTGCCTTCCTACATGCAGTGAATCTTTAGACACTCTGTTTTAATCATAAGAGTGAGTATCTTTCAGTACACGCATGAGGAATTCTTGTCCACACCCTGATCGAGGGGAATATCAAATACTGTTTCTGTCAAGCAGCCAGCACAGCAGGCCACTGGCACACACAGTATGCATGCAGCTAATTGATCAAGTCACGTCCACTTTGGTCACAAGCTGTGTGGAATATTTGATTACAATTTCTAAAAAGCCATGGCCGCGTGTATTAAAAAGTTATGGCCGCACTATTCATTTTATTCATGGACTCCTCGTGGAGTGGTATCAGTCACCACTGCGAGCAGGATGCTATTTGGAATTTTTGGTGGGTCTTTGTGCCAGTGGCTTTAATTAGATGGACTCTTTTTAACTAAGCACACTCAGTTGGCCTTTCCTTGTTCCATCTGTCACAGCGTTCGGTTTAGGTGGAAGGGAGGCGAAAGATAGGGGAAGGGACGATCATATTAGCATGGCTCGATTGGCTGTCTCATCAATAATTTTTCAACACTTGTTTTCACCCAACTCTAAGGCATCATCACTCCCATTTTGGTCAATAAAAGTAGCTTACTTTTTTCGTTTAAAACATAGGCTACTTATTTCAGCGCTGACCTTTACTGATAAGACTTAAGGACTCCTACTGACCAAGGATTTTCAATAGCTTTTCAGAGTAAAAAGGGGACTTGCTATTCGCCCGCTAGGCCTACTTCTGACTTTCAACTTTGTATGTTCGATATAAGTGAAATACAGATAAGCAGTAAATACATATTATTCAAGTGTTCAATTGTTAACGTTCAAGATTGCTTGGAAGTGGATGTCAAGACAAACACCGTTCTAAAAGGCTGCTGGTGGGCTTAGGTGAGGGTGCGGAGCTGTCCACTGCATTGGTGCTGAAATAAACCGGCAAAGGGCAAGAGAAGCAGCTGTGCTCAAAGTAGAACAAAATGTTAAAACTTTAAAGTTAACTTGACAGGTACTGCAGAAGCAAAACTAATACGAATGTTAAAACTTGTTTGTATGTTTCAGTATAGAATAACCACTGCACCTTTGCACTCTACCTGCTGCAGCCGCTCCAATCTGCTCCATGTGTGACTCCAATACATCCGGATCTCTCGAGCTGTACGGACCGAGCTCAGGATAGAAACTGGAGCCGATGTCCTCCGGCGGCATATGCCTCCCTTTCGGGTAACTGGCGGCGATTTTGGGGTCCCAATGTGGCACGAGGACATGGTCCCAGTGCATGTATTTCCCATCCATCAACGGGTTCCCGTACCACACGCTGTAAAATATGTGGACGTCGTAAAATATGATTCCTTCAGGTCCAGAGTTTGATAAAACTACTTTGGCGCGCACCTGCCCCGGGGAGGAGACGGCGTCTTGGGACACCGAGCGCCGGTCCATCCTTCCTCCAATCATCCGCAGGAGGCCCAACCCCGGGGCCAGGTCCGAGAACCCATCGCTGGGCTTCAGAGTTCTCAAACCCATCATGGTTCCGAAAACGAAGAGTGTAAATAAGAACAGAGCTATGCACGCTTTCTTCCGCAGCCTGGCCATTGCGGAACGGTTGTCTCGCAGAGGCGATTCCTGCTGGAGTGAACCGGGGTGGGTGGTCGGCTAAAGTCACGGAGCCGGCGGTGTGCATAAGACTTTTTTTTCCAAAAGTCGTTGAGCCTATAGGCAGTATACTGTAACCGTTAGCCTATTTTACAAGTTCACCTACTTCACCCTAGAAAAGTCTACAATGCAGGCATTCATATAGACTATTCATAAATGCAGTCGCTGTCAGAACGCAGAACATTTATAACTTTATGATTAATAGCCTAACTATTAGCCTACATGATTGCGGATGAAGCCTAATGGTCGCGTTTCATGACGCAGTGGAATCTGGCATTGCATTTAGATCTCAGTGATGTGAAATAATGTTTTCCTTTGTCAGGTTCTCATGCAGTGTTAACTTGCTCAATTAAATCAGTTTACAGAATAGCATTGTCTTAAAGAGCGCACTTTACCTTGTTGTAGTGGAGAATGTGAAATAAGAATGCATGGCACATTTTGATTAGTGTTCCCCAATTGCAATGATGAAGGCTATACCACCATCTGATTATATGAGCTCTTGGAGAAAATATGCACATTTCGAGTTAAGAATAGCCTCCATGTCAAGCGATCAAATCTCTCCGATATCTTTCTATCGTTTATAGGTTACCGTCAGATGTCGGCTCCTGATGGCTGAATTGTCGCCACCCTGTTACACTATTTAGCTTTTCGCTGCTACGCTATTTCGCTTTTCGCTGCTGGCTCGATGTATCTCCTACCCAATGCTTTACATTAGGCTCGCAAGTAAACCCACCTAGTAACACCAACGAAAACGTTCTAAATTCAATGCAACAAGATCCTGGACGTGCACGCTCCGTGGTCGCTGTCCATGGTAACAATTCGCCATCAGCGATGGCTGCTTTTTACCGTCAATGTTTTGCTACATGGAGGCGGAGCTTTTGCAGTCAGGGTATTATACCGAGATTTATTTTCCATTATGTTTGGTGCAAGGGGACTGATGGATGGCAACTATAGGCTATGCATGTACCTATACAAAGTAGGATATTGGAGCCTTATTGATGATGACAATAGACTGTAAGTTACATACAACATAAGGCCAGGGTTGCAAAGTTGCAGGTCTACTAAGCTATATGGAATTTTTAAAGAATGTCATACCAAGGACCATTGAGCTATTTGATTTTGAATTTTAAGACCCCTTGAAGTATGAAAAAAAAAACATACAAAAAATTATTTTATGCTAAATTAGTTTTTGGCCTTACTGCTATTAGCCCATACAAAAGCATTGAATAACAGATGCACTACATGAAACGACAGATAATCCCCCCCAAAAATCTAAAGGAAGTTTGTTCTGAAGTGTCTGTCCTATATCTGAAAGATCAGGAAAAACATTTTTTTTTCCTTTACATGTATTTAACCCTTTATTTTTTGGCACTAAACAGTCTCCATATATACTTCCATTCATTTTTTTCAACTGGTAGGGGGGACCTTCAGATCAGTCTTGTGAGGCCTGTGGGCATAGTTTGTAAACCAAACCGTTCTGAAGCTACAGACGATTTTGTGAGAGGACCAATTTTTCGGGATGTCTCATGGTCTGTCAAACAACGCTCTTTTTGTATTATGCTAATTATATTTCCGCAGGGGCGCAGACACCGACTCTAGGGTTTTAATAAGATCTCTCTCACACACACAGTATGAACTCATTAGTTCATTGGCATATTTCTAACCTTCGTGAAAGGGAAAAAGCTCGAGGGTGTCTGTCACATCGTTTCAACATCCTCATCAGCGGCGGTAAGTCTACCTACAAAGGGTGAACCGAAGCGCAGCGGTCAGCGTCAGTACGTCAGGTGTCAAATAAGGGCACATAAGAGTAGGCATAGGAAACAAGAGCTGTGCATAACTCATAGGGACTGATGCTTGTTTGTTTGCTTTTGTTCGTTGTTTTGCAAAACTTCAAACGCATCATCACAACATGACTTTCCTGAACTATTTGTGTATTGATATTGTAAAAAGCAGATTTAGGACTACTGTATCCTATTGCATAAAGCCAACTGTAGAACATTTTTACAAGACTGTTTATTAAGTAAGCTACGGTTCCATGTAACCCTCTGTGGAAAGTTTTTTTTTTTTTTACATGGAACCCAAAAGGGTTCTACCTGAAACCAAAAAAGGTTATTCAAAGGGTTGTCCTATGGGGCCAGCCGAATAACCCTTTTATGTTTTAGATAGCACCTAAGAGTGTAATCTCTCGTGGGAGCGTTTTACTTATAATAATAATAATATAATATGCCATTTAGCAGACGCTTTTATCCAAAGCGACTTACAGTCATGCGTGCATAAATTTTTTGTGTATGGGTGGTCCCGGGGTTTGAACCCACTACCTTGGCGTTACAAGCGCCGTGCTCTACCAGCTGAGCTACAAAGGACCAGATTAGAACACAAGCATTTCGCTACACCCGCCATAACATCTGCTAAATATGTGTATGCGACCAATACAATTTGATTTGATTTGGTTTTGAGATTACTGAGTGTAATACCAACTGCATAGCATTATTTCAGTCTTCAGGTTTTGATCATCCCAGACTGAATCTCATCAAGCATCATGGTAGGGTATTCCCTCCCAGTGCATCTGATCATTTTGGAAAGTCAACCTACACACTGTTTTCGTTTTAATGGTGGGCGGCGGCCTTGTGTATAACCAAAGTGTATTGTGTGCAATTACCATATTATTTCAACAATTCCAGATGGAAAACCTTATCTGTATTGTGGAAGAACTACACTGGCCTCTAGTGGTAGATTATATTTGTCTCACTCTGTGCGTCATTAGCATGAACATCCAGCATAGAATGCTGAACTCTAGAAAAGTCTCAACCAACTCAAGGACGAAATCTTCACCCTCCTTTATACCGGGGCATTTCAATAGGAGAAATGTGAATGGATCTTTTCCTCTTTTTTAACTATGCCTTGGTAGGCCTGTATATGTGTACATTTGGCTTTGTCAGTAGCCTACACCAGGGTTACCCAAACCCGTCCTGTTCCCCGTTTTGTTTTTTGCCCTAGCACTACACAGGTGATTCAAATAACCAACTGGCCTATACCTTGAGCCCAAGAACACCGCTGTCTGTGGTGCTGAAATGCATCTTTGCTATATTCAATCCGAATTTGAATCCATACCATATTTTATCCGTAAAGCTTATGGGCTACCTTTAGCCCAATAACGCTGCTGTCCATGGTTCTGAAAGTAGCCTACTCATCTCTAATAACCAATCTTTCCCATTTATTCCAAACTAAATTTGTAAATGCCTGATGGTTCTGCAAAATCGTTGTAGCCTATTTGTTAAGATTTGGTCATCAATCTTTGTCCATGTGCTAAAAACGTGCATATGTTTATTTGGTGGAAAGTGCATGGTTGAGACTCAAATCGGCATACTACCTTTTCAACTTCAGTTGATATATAAAATACACAATAATGCAACTATGTTTTCATACTCTTGATGTAGATGTAATGCCATACAGTGTCCTATTTATAGATACACTGTATGTGGACACCCCTTCAAATTAGTGGATTCGGCTATTTCAGCCACACCCGATGCTGACAGGTGAATAAAATCGAGAACACAGCCATGCAATCTCCATAGGAAAACTTTGGCAGTAGAATTTTAACACGATTGCAAAAAAAGTGAGCTATCTTAACAGCATAACTTAATCATTTTAGTCAAGTATTATGTCATTTTCGTTAATATCATTGGTATATTAATTAAATCATGGGCAGATATATAATAGTAATACAAATAATGATGATTGTATTATTGCATTTTTACTATATTATTATATAACTGCTAGGCCTATACCACCTCAGAGCAAGGTCTATGGGAGCGTTAAATAAGGGATATTATTTGGTTTCTTTTTTCTTCATTAATCATTCTACAAGGACAACAGTCAACAACAACTTAACATTATGTGATCAATCATCATCGATCTGGGAATTCGTTGGACCAGATAGGCCTGTCTTTTCATGCAACAATTCCAGAAGAGCTGTATACTAAAGACAATAGTTTCGTTTGCGTCGTTGCCGTTTTATTTCTTCAGGCTACTCTTCGAATTTCCTGCTGAAGATTTGGCTATTAATTGAGTCAAAACCCACTGACTACATAAAAATGCAGTGATTTGATGATGACCGAGCTAAACCTCTTCCTGGCCAAATTGGCCATCCAGTCCCTTCCCCCTTCCATGCTTCACCTCAAACGAACCACAACTGGTTTACTTACCTCACCAAACCAACTTTTTCCATCCGTCAGCAACATTGCGACAGCAGCAAAGTGAGTAATCAATATTAACCCAATCACTTTACACCTAATTTCGTCACCCAATTTCGAAAGAGAAATAGGCCTACTTAAAACATGGAGTTGTTTAGAATAGCCTATTATATGCTCTATTATTTACGGGATATTTATTCAACATAAATTACGCGCACATTTGATTTATACATTTGTAATTCAACATCTCCCATATATGGGCCATGTTCGAATGGAATGTTGTCTGATGGGTTTGCAGTTGCCTCTTACCATTTGCGTTGTATTTTATTAGGCTGTGTGTGGTCGATGGCCACTAAATACAGAGAGAGATAGAGGTGGTGGGGGCTCGGGCCAGCGTGGTGATAAGCAGTGGTGCGGTGTGCGGTGGTCTCTCTGAATTGTGATTGGTCACTCGACATATTTGGGGCCCTCCACCATCAGGAACGTGCAATTAATCATGTAGGCTAATTGGGAATCACGTGGACATGACCGAGAGGGTGGGGGGTTGGTTGGTGGTAGGAAGAAGATGCTCGCTGGTCATTTCTATATTGACCAAGAGTTAAAACTGACCAGGGGAGGAATAAAGACGTGATTCAACGCGGAGCGGGGCCCGAGACGTCCAGGCCAAAACACTGGGGGAAAAGGGACTGATATAGGCTAAAGACAAGCGGGACCGAACATGGCAGAAGGTAGGCCAATAATTTGGACTAAAACACTTTGATTGGTTATTTGGTTTGATGTTTTAAAGCCAAGGAGTCTCTCTGATGGCCATAGATGAAGAGGTTTAGGGGGCTGGGTTTCCTTGCATTGTCTTTTAGATCTTGGGTAATTCTTATACAAATTCTTCCCTGTGACCCCCTACCCCTCATTGTTTGGGGCAATAAGTTGCCAGACCCTTTTGTTTATTTCGCCCTCCCACTTTCCCCCACGAAGTTGAGCTTTTGCTTTTCAGCGCATTTGGCATGAAAGTGGGAAACCGTGAGCATTTCGCTGCTCGAAAGGGGAAAACGATAGACTACATTAACTTGGGTGCTTCTTTTGACTCAAGGCGTGAATTGGCAAGATGGGTTCTGTTTCTAACCAGGAATTCCCAGGTTGAGTAAAAATCTGACGATATATTGTGTTTAGTGTAGGCTCTCGCTCTCTCTAAAGAGATACAGAATTAATATCAGCCTACGAATTTACAATTGGGTACAGTATGGACAATTTACCTTTTTAAATAGCCTAGTCAATACCAAAACATGCTTTATGTTGTTCGCAAAAGGCTAACCACTTGATAAATGTAAATGTATATTTTTCTATTTGTATACGAATTTTCTTATGTAGTCTTGTAAATGCAAATTAATGGTTTTATTTTCACAACATCACTTGTTTCTGTCGCACAAACGCAGCTAACAAGAGGCCCATATAACTCAGTTCAACATGGGCCAACAATTTAGTGAAATACTAGGTTTCGTAATTCGTTTCGTTTAGGCCTGTGTTGTTTCTTCACATACTAGTACATTTAATATATACTCTATGCGTGTGAAATATATTGGCCCTAGGTATGATAGATTGAAATATAAGAATAACAAATAATTCTAGCCATAGTTAGAACTATAGATAATTGTCAATATGGACCCATACAAAATTGTTGTTTATGTATTTAAAGGATTTGTAGATAGGTCTATATTTAGGGCTATGGATATTATTGGTTATTGATCAAATTGGTTTGGGTGATTTGATAAATCAAATCGTAACATATCGATCGGTTTTGCAACGATTTCCCCGCGTTTTCTACCTAAGGGTTATGAATGCGTGAGGGAAAACAAGGAACGAACGAAGCTGAATGGCAATTTTATGCGCACACTCCTTTCATCGCGTTCTGGTAAATAGTAAAACGAACATTGTTTAACATATTGTTCGAAATTACAGGAGTCTGCAAGACCGAAAAGGATGAAGTACCGAGTACCGAGGAGGACTCGGAATCTTTCCACGGTGTCGGCGTATGTAAATGGTTCAACGTGCGCATGGGCTTTGGGTTCTTGTCCATGACCAACCGAGACGAGGGTCCCGCTCGAGGCTCCGGTCGATGTGTTCGTCCATCAGGTAAGAGGGGCGCCTTAGTTTTAAAATGAACTGACTTACCGTCTACTTCTCACACCAAATATGTGGTGAATGGTGGCCCACTACAACTTGACACAGAATAACATCTTCAGGCAGTTTTCCTTCTCAAATGAACACGTGTTGCTGGCTTTCCATGTGACCTCGTGGTCATGTACAGTGGGGTCCAAAATCATGGACACCCTTGATAAAGATGAGCAATAATGACTCTATAAAATATATCATTCAAATACTGAGCTATATTGTAGGCAAAAAAAGAAGGGAAATTATATTATTTTATACTAATACAATTGCTCAGAGAAATATATTTTGTTTAACAAGTAAACACATTTAGGGTTTGACACCCCTAAAGATTTTCATAAATAAAGTAGTCAAAATATTAATATTTGGTCCCATATCCCTAGCACTCAATGACTACATCAAGCGTGTGACTCTACAAACTTGTTGTTTGCATTTGCAGTTCGTTTTGGTTGTGTTTCAGATTATTTTGTGCCCAATAGAAATAAATGGTAAATAATGTATTGTGTCATTTACATTGTAAATTGAAAACAAGAATATAATACGTTTGTAAACACTTATACATTAATGTGGATGCTACAATGTTTATGGATAATCCTGAATGAATCGTGAAAGTTACTGAGGGTCAAAGATCATACCCCCAAGACATGCTAACCTCCCCTGTTATTGGTAATGGTGAGAGGTTAGCATGTCTTGGGGTTATGATCTTTGACCCTCTGTAACTTTCTCACTCATCATTATTCACAATTCATTCAGGGGTAATTCTGACCTCTACCTTTTTGAGAGAGAAAAATATAACTCTTTCTCTGAGCAATTGTATTAGTATGAAAATAATATAATGGCACTGTATTATGAGCTGTCTTGTTTGCTGAATGAACAAATGAAGTAGGCAGTGGCATAGTGCATATAGCCATAGAAGCACAGTGACATATGCCTCAATTCATTCATATTTGTGGCTTATTGGGTGTGTGGCTTTCAGTTACATATTTTTGGTCACCCAACCCATGAGAGTGAATGTCATTCCAGTTCATCTGAATGTCATTCTACTGCACTGCTTACTATGAACTAAATCTGATGGTGTTTGCATGTTTAGGTAAAAATACAAATAATGTCCTGTTTGGAACACTGCCAAGTAGAGATATTTGGTCAATCTGATTGGGTGTGCCTGGCTGCCCAGTGGGTGGGCCTGGGCACACCAGTGCCTTACGCGGCTGGGTTAAAGTTACTTAAAGCTGCAATATGTCACTTTTTGGGCGACCTGACCAAATTCACATAGAAATGTGAGTTCAAGATCTGTCATTCTCATTGAAAGCAAGTCTAAGAAGCAGTAGATCTGTTCTATGTGCGCTATTTCTGTCCTTCCCGTTCTTAAGTTTTGTTTTTGCGTTTGCTTTCAGTTTTGTACACCAGCTTCGAACAGCTGAAAATACAATATTTTTGGTTATGGAAAATATATTTCACAGCGGTTTAGATGGTACAATGATTCTCTACACTCTACAGTGCATTCGGAAAGTATTCAGACCCCTTTACCTTTTCCACATTTTGTTACATTACAGCCTTATTCTAAAATGGCTAATATTTTTCCTCATCAATCTACACACAATACCCCATAATGACAAAGCAAAAAACAGGTTTTAGAAATGTTTGCAAAACAGAAAGGTCCCCAATAACACAGTGGCCTCCATTATCCATCATTCTTAAATGGAAGAAGTTTGGAACCACCAAGACGCTTCCTAGAGCTGGCCGCCCAGCCAAACTGAGCAATCGGGGGAGAAGGGTCTTGGTCAGGGAGGTGACCAAGAACCCAATGGTCACTCTGACAGAGCTCCAGAGTTCCTTTGTGGAGATGGGAGAACCGTCCAGAAGGACAACCATCTCTGCAGCACTCCACCAATCATGTCTTTATGGTAGAGTGACCAGACGGAAGCCACTCCTCAGTAAAAGGCACATGACAGCCCGCTTGTAGTTTGCCAAAAGGCACCTAAATGACTCAGATCATGAGAAACAAGATTTTCTGGTCTGATGAAACCAAGATTGAACTCTTTGGCCTGAATCTCAAGTGTCACATCTAGAGGAAACCTGGTACCATCCCTACGGTGAAGCATGGTGGTGGCAGCATCATGCTGTGGGGATGTTTTTCAGTGGCAGGGGCTGGGAGACTAGTCAGGATCGAGGGAAAGATGAACGGAGCAAAGTACAGTGAGATCCTTGATGAAAACCTGCTCCAAATCGCTCAGGACCTCAGATTGGGGCGAAGGTTCACCTTCCATCAGGACAACGACCCTAAGCACACAGCCAACACAATGCATGAGTGGCTTCGGGACAAGTCTATGAATGTCCTTGAGTGGCCCAGCCAGAGCCCGGACTTGAACCCGATCGAACATCTCTGGAGAGACCTGAAAATAGCTTTAAAGCGACGTTCCCCCTCCAACCTGACAGCGCTTGAGAGGATCTGCAGAGAAGAATGGGAGAAACTCCCCAAATACAGGTGTGCCAAGCTTGTAGCGTCATACCCAAGAAGACTCAAGGCTGTAATCGCTTCCAAAGGTGCTTCAATAAAGTACTGAGTAAAGGGTCTGAATACTTATGTAAATGTGATATATATATATATATATATATATATATATATATATATATATATATATATATATATACAGTGGGGTAAAAAAGTATTTAGTCAGCCACCAATTGTGCAAGTTCTCCCACTTAAAAATATGAGAGAGGCCTGTAATTTTCATCATAGGTACACGTCAACTATGACAGACAAATTGAGGAAAAAAAATCCAGAAAATCACATTGTAGGATTTTTAATGAATTTATTTGCAAATTATGGTGGAAAATAAGTATTTGGTCACCTACAAACAAGCAAGATTTCTGGCTCTCACAGACCTGTAACTTCTTCTTTAAGAGGCTCCTCTGTCCTCCACTCGTTACCTGTATTAATGGCACCTGTTTGAACTTGTTATCAGTATAAAAGACACCTGTCCACAACCTCAAACAGTCACACTCCAAACTCCACTATGGCCAAGACCAAAGAGCTGTCAAAGGACACCAGAAACAAAATTGTAGACCTGCACCAGGCTGGGAAGACTGAATCTGCAATAGGTAAGCAGCTTGGTTTGAAGAAATCAACTGTGGGAGCAATTATTAGGAAATGGAAGACATACAAGACCACTGATAATCTCCCTCGATCTGGGGCTCCACGCAAGATCTCACCCCGTGGGGTCAAAATGATCACAAGCACGGTGAGCAAAAATCCCAGAACCACACGGGGAGACCTAGTGAATGACCTGCAGAGAGCTGGGACCAAAGTAACAAAGCCTACCATCAGTAACACACTACGCCGCCAGGGACTCAAATCCTGCAGTGCCAGACATGTCCCCCTGCTTAAGCCAGTACATGTCCAGGCCCGTCTGAAGTTTGCTAGAGTGCATTTGGATGATCCAGAAGAGGATTGGGAGAATGTCATATGGTCAGATGAAACCAAAATAGAACTTTTTGGTAAAAACTCAACTCGTCGTGTTTGGAGGATGAAGAATGCTGAGTTGCATCCAAAGAACACCATACCTACTGTGAAGCATGGGAGTGGAAACATCATGCTTTGGGGCTGTTTTTCTGCAAAGGGACCAGGACGACTGATCCGTGTAAAGGACAGAATGAATGGGGCCATGTATCGTGAGATTTTGAGTGAAAACCTCCTTCCATCAGCAAGGGCATTGAAGATGAAACGTGGCTGGGTCTTTCAGCATGACAATGATCCCAAACACACCGCCCGGGCAACGAAGGAGTGGCTTCGTAAGAAGCATTTCAAGGTCCTGGAGTGGCCTAGCCAGTCTCCAGATCTCAACCCCATAGAAAATCTTTGGAGGGAGTTGAAAGTCTGTGTTGCCCAGCGACAGCCCCAAAACATCACTGCTCTAGAGGAGATCTGCATGGAGGAATGGGCCAAAATACCAGCAACAGTGTGTGAAAACCTTGTGAAGACTTACAGAAAACGTTTGACCTGTGTCATTGTCAACAAAGGGTATATAACAAAGTATTGAGAAACTTTTTGTTATTGACCAAATACTTATTTTCCACCATAATTTGCAAATCAATTCATTAAAAATCCTACAATGTGATTTTCTGGAATTTTTTTCCTCATTTTGTCTGTCATAGTTGACGTGTACCTATGATGAAAATTACAGGCCTCTCTCATCTTTTTAAGTGGGAGAACTTGCACAATTGGTGGCTGACTAAATACTTTTTTTCCCCACTGTATATATATATATATATATATTTTTTTTTTTAAATATATAAATTTGCAAAAATTTATAAAAACCTGTTTTTACTTTGTCATTATGGGGTATTGTGTGTAGATTGATGAGGGGAAAAAACATTTTAATCAATTTTAGAATTAGGCTGTAACATAATAAAATGTGGAAAAAGTCAAGGGGTCTGAATACTTTCCGAATGCACTGTACATGTTTGTTTTGTCACATAAACTGAAATTAGGCAAACTATTAGAATTTTAGTAACCAGGAATTGGCAGAGCAATTTCTGCATAGTGCAGCTTTAAAGGTGACTTAGCCACTTTTGTACACAGGTAATGCCTGCCTCATTCCCTTACATTTAAGTTTTGCTAGCGATGGCTGAAGTTATCTGAAGTTTGTTGTGGTTTTTTAAAGAAAACCGTACCATAGATTACAGTTTATCTTGGCCCATATGCTACTTTGAAGGTGAGGAGCCATCTAAAATACTGAACTTCCCTTTTAACAGTATTTTTGTCTTGAAATATAATCGCATGGTAATTCATTCCAAGTGAAGACCACAGGCCTACCTATGAGGCAATGGGCTTGTTCGACATTGCAGGCAACTGCTGACTGACTAATCAACAAATCACTTTGCATCATAAATAACTACTCATTATTATTTGTAGATCAGTGAGACGCAATTTACCCACTATGCATCACAAATTTGAAGCTCTCGAACACGACCAGTGTCTTTTTATCCTCATGGTGTCCAGGGCCCAAGAGTGAATTGGGAAACTACCCAAGTTAACCCATCCTTGCCAATATTGAAGGGGGAGTATCCTTTTCCCTCCTAGCTTCCACGTGAGTGAGACCCTTCCACTACTGGCTGAGAAGATAAAGGCTTAGCATCTCATTGAGAGAAGTCCACTTTAGCTGCTCATTCACTTCAGGTTCCTGTAATAAAGTGATTAAAGCCTCCATGCTCCTGTCTTCTCTCTGCCAAGTCTATGTTAATGGTGAAGGAGGGAGAGCGATTTGAGGTTTACCATAACCCCACCGCCTTCATGGGGCACTCTGTTCACAACGCTGACATCAGCAAACCGCTTGCCCACATGACGCCATACACGCTATCTGCCCGGTGCTGTTGAAACTGGGATTCATCAGTGAAGACCATACTTCTCCAGTGTACCAGTGGCCATGGAAGGTGAGCATTTGCCCACTGAAGTTAGTTATGACGCCGAACTGCAGTTAGGTCAAGACCCTGGTGAGGACGACGAGCACGCAGATGAGCTTCCCTGAGACAATTTCTGACAGTTTCTGCAGACATTCTTCAGTTGTGCAATCCCACAGTTTCATCAGCTGTCCGGGTGGCTGGTCTCAGACAATTCCGCAGGTGAAGAAGCCGGATGTGGAGGTCCTGGGCTGGCATGGTTACACGTGAAGGCGGGTTGAACGTACTGCCAGATTCTCTAAATCGACATTGGAGGCGGCTTATGGTAGAGAAATTAACATTCAATTCTCTAGCAACAGCTCTGGTGGACATTCCTGCAGTCAGCATGCCAATTGCACGCTCCCTCAAAACTTGAGACATCTGTGGCATTGTGTTGTGTGACAAAACTGCACCTTTTAGAGTGACCTTTTATTTTCCCCAGCACAAGGTACACCTGTGTAATGATCATGCTGTTTAATCTGCTTCTTGATACGCCACACCTGTCAGGTGGATGGATTATCTTGGCGAAAGGAGAAATGCTCACTAACAGGGATGTGAGAGAAATACGCTTTTTTAAACTAAACTAATTTGATGTGTTAAGATATCCAGGATGAAATGCTCCTTAAAGGGGTCTACACAGTCTATCCAAACGTAGCCGACTTAGGTCTGTTTGCGTGGCTCTCTACATACTGTAGTTCTATGTACATTTGTGCAGCCACATTTTTGGAACGCGACGCAAACGCTTCTCCGTCAGTTCTGTTTGTTTAGACTGTGTAGAGCCCTTAAGGCTCGCACACATTGCACCGAATGTGAATCTAGCTTTTGTCTGCCGATCGTTTAGCACGCAGTGTTTTAGGAACAACCAGCTGTAGACCTCTGACTGACAACATTTTCCACCCGATTCTACATGTAAAATCAGTGCACGTACTCTCGGCCAGCAAACGCTATCGGTGTATCTGAGCCATTACATTTCATTATAACTCTTTCCTCCTTTCCAGAACCGCTGCTTTTTAGACCATTTATTTGAGCTATTTGAACTTTTGATCTGTTGAAATGGCCAGGACTACAATTACGCCCCAAATTAATGATTTCTTCCTGAAAACCTTTCTTTAATATCAATCTGTTTCTCAATAAGTAATCTGTATGACTAAATACTTATTTTATTCTTCCCAGAATGTAGACATCCCTCTTCTAGTGCCACCACTATAGATTCCAAGCCTTATAAAGCATATGTTTGAATAAGTGAACAATATCTGTTAACAATGTAACTGGGACAATGTCCTCCTTATTCCCCGAACCCTGTCCCTCTCCTTTGACATCTTAAATAGTGACTTCTCCACTGATTTCCTTCCCTAGCCATCAGGATTCGGGTCAATTACATTTCATTTCAATTCAGGAAGCAAACTGGAATTCCAATTTTCCTCAATGCTTGAAGAATTCGAAATGGAAGTGACCCCAACCCTGCTAGCCGTTGTTAGGAAGACGAGATCATGTGTGTCCAATATTCATCCATGATGGACAGATGGGCGTTATGACTACGGTGCATTATGGCAATGGGGCTTTGGCCCCGAAATGAGTCGCCGCATGTCAGGGAGAGAACATGAACTCCCGGGGCCTGCTGGTGAACAATAGGGCCACGCATCCCAATGAAGCACACTCCTCTTGCCCATGACCGAGCCCCTCAGCCCCTCTTTGTCCTAGCAGCAAGCCTCTCCCATTGTCCTCTTTCTCTCTCTCCTCGTATGTCTTCATTCATCTACCCCACTCTGTTTTCTTCAAGCTGAAGGAGAGCTTCATATCGCCCTCCAATGCACTTCACCAGGTTGGTAGGGTTTAAGGCCATACTAGGAGTATCCTTTCTCTTTCCACATGGTATGTTCTCTGTGTTGGGGGTGGGTATGGATGGACCTACCCACTTCTGTGCAGCGGGGGAGGTCACACGTGTGAGAAGTGGGTTAATGGTCACTGGGGCTAACGCACAATGGAGCAGCTTTTCAAGGGGCCACTTCTGTCACCTAAATGGAGTTATGGATGACCTATCGTGTGTCCCAGATCTGCTTGTAACTTCACAGCAGATGCTCATCAGTGACCATTAGAGTATTAAGGGACGGTTCACTTTACTGTAATTTTCCTCCTACAGATGCTATTGCATTGCTAGTTTTCATTACACAATAGATGCAGTTCTTTGTAGGCCATGTCACTTGTATCTGAATTAGTGTCCTGGTTAAAATACAATCTATGGCACATCATTTTTTATGCTTTTATTTTCAAGCTAGCCTAATTGTAACTGTATAAACCTTCCCCTCGAAGCAACTGCACAGTTACACACAAGCTGTTGTTGATACTTGAAGCAAAATGCAGAGAAGGCTGTCAAATAAGGATAAATCAGCTAGTGGCAGTTTCCCATTCACAGATTAAGCCTAGTCCTAGACTAAAAAGCATTTTCAATTTCTCCATTGAGCTTTTTAGTCCAGGACTAGGCTTAATCTGGGTCTGGGAATCCACACCCTAGTCTTTTAAATATATCCTTAAGATTGACTCAAATAATATAAGTTCGTCCCAGCCTGACAATGGCAGCCATTGACAGTTCTGGAGAGGAAATCCTTTGTGGTGAGCATGGCTGATGTCTTTCCGCTCCTAAATTGGGTCCAGGAACATAGACAAATGGCACTTGGTGCCTAGGAAACACCTCAATGAGGTGGCATAGCCACCAGTCTTGTCCTGACACTGACCTGAGCATGAGAGAAAGAATTGTGGAATTCTGTTTACAGCACAATATTGATCACCCTCTAATTGTGAAATTCTCAAAGGTTAGTTGAAACTTCTGATAGGAAACATCAGGTTTCATTGCTAATCATATCAAAATCAACGATATCTGCTGCCTGTTTGCAGATATACCATACCACCAATCCAAAGCTCTTTTGGAGGGTTCTTGTTTTACCCAGGCTGTTTTACTCCCTCCATTTCTTCATCCCTTCCTCCCTCCTTTTCCCCTTCTCCAAGGCTGTTTTATCTCATGGCTGAACTTCTCTCTGCTGAACAGCGCTGCCTGGGTCAACTGAGGTGAAGGCAGCAGAATGGGATCTGAAAAAGGGTCTGTAGGATAGCTAAAGTACTGGGTCGTAATAATTTGGCACCAATGAAACAGAATGGGACTATGTAGATTTGTCCAATAAGAAACGCTCATTTTTGTTTTCTGTTTTCACGAACCTGGTTTGATGTTAGCATAGCCTTTAGTGTTAATCTTATGACCATGGTATTGATTGTGTCCCTACCAATGCTATCAATACACATCGCCTCTTGAGCTGTTGAATGCTTTCAGGCTTTGAGTTTATACTGATTCCATACAAAATGTATCACATTTTAGTAAAACAATCAATCAATTATTAAATCAAAGCATGTACCTATCATTTGGAGTGAGAATGTGTTCATTCTCAACTTATCTGCGTGTCTCTCTGCCAAATAATCATCCAAGAACTGTCTCCCTGACCCCCCCCCACCCCACCCTACCCCACCCCCAACGCTATCCCTCCCAGCAAGAATCCTGCAGTGGTGGTCAGTGTGTTAGTGGTTCTTTGTGATGTGGTTGGGAAGAGAGGTTGGGGGCAGGGGACGTAGTAGTGCGGAATGCCGGTCCTTTGGCAGAGGGGGATGGGTAAAGGTTATCACATCAGGTTTACCACTCAAACACAAGAGACTCACAGGCCACTGTGGCCAGTGTTGGGCAACAGACCAATGCAGACTAGGGAGGGAGGACAAATAGTCAGTCTGACAACAAGAGGCTTTGTAGTTGTTTATTTATGAGGTGAGACAGAATGATCAACAGTCAGGAGACTTAGGACAAATGCCAGATAGCTCCTATCTCTGTCAGAAAAGTTTGAAGATAGCATGGTGTTCACAGGGGTCACTGCTCAGCGTCTCCCTTGGCTGATTATTAGTTGATTTGTTAGCTGATGTTGTAAGGTTTTTGTGATTGCGTCATCATTGATTTGGAGCATATCATGCAGCAAGACTTGAGTTCTTAAGATGTGTTCGTAAGGATGTGTAACGACTGAACAATCCTCCAAGCCCCTTGGAAAGTCCCTCTCTACGTTCAAAATGTGATATTTGATATGACCTTTAAAATGTTACAGGGCCGTATTCACAAGAGTCTCAAAGTAGGAGTGCTAATAAAGGATTATATGGATAGGGGGATCTGATACTAGATCAGCACTCCTACTCTGAGATGAATTTGGAGAGGGGCACAGGAATGAAGGTCAAACTGCTAACAGTATTCTAATATTTGTTCCTCCCGTCTTTCTCTACCATCCAGAGTAAGCTGCACATGGAGGGCTTCCGCAGCCTGAAGGAGGGCGAGGCGGTCGAGTTCACGTTCAAGAAGTCAGCCAAAGGCCTGGAGTCCCAGAGAGTCACTGGGCCAGAGGGCACACATTGTGTGGGCAGTGAGAGGAGACCCAAAGGCAAGAGCGTCCAGAAACGCCGCTCCAAAGGAGATAGGTGAGTGCCTGCCTTGCATGCACACTCTGTTTGTACATCAAATGGGGACAACGTATACACTCAAATGTACACACTGAAACAGAAACTCATTCCCGCAAACATTCCAAAACCCTCCAAACTATATTTGAACACTGGTGTTAAGTGAAAAAGAGGTCGTTCACAAAATGAAAATGGACAGAAAATGCCTTATCAGATAAGCAACAATGTACATATCTCACACACATACCACATCTAAGTATACCATAGTAGGGGTCTCGCATACTCAAAAGATGGTGGGCCAAAGCGTTTTATTTATTGTGGTTGGGTCTCACATCTGCAATGGTCCATCCATTTTGGATATGATGCAAAATGGTGTTTCAGTTTTGTCCTCTTCTTCTTTTCCTTGACCCCCACCCCTGGCCGTGGTTAGGGTCACACAGGCAGGCTTGGCGTGTGACCTGGATCAATAGCTGTTTAATTCTGTCCGTCCCTTGTGGATTCACACCCAGTGGTTCTCTCTTTGAAAACCTTTTCCAAACCTCTTCCACAAAATGTGTTTTTGTGGTGGTAACCTGAACTGGTAACATGAATGTTTCTGAATCACTTTAGATGTGGATTATAATGATCCTGTCATTACAGTGTAGAACTAGTGAAATATTAAATTCTAGGTGTGTTTGATGTTTAAATATTACTCATGTTAGTTATAATAACAAATCTACAAAAATAAGTTATTTTGGCTTGTTCCTGTAAAATAACCCTTAATGGTTCTAGGTAGAACCTTTTTACCCATAAAGAACCCTACTAGAAGCATTTTGTCCGTTGAGAAGGTTCTGAAGAATCCTTTTGCATGAAAAAGGTTCCATACCCCACTACTTGAATAATGCATTCCTTTTCAAATGCACAAATCCCTTCACTTTTTCTCACCATAAAGTAAAGTAAAAGTGAGAGGAGGGCCAACATTGTGGGTCCTTTGTCCGTTGTGGATATTGTGATGGGTTAGAGAGGGGTATCAATGTGGCCTCCTGTCAGTTGTGATTAGGCCCAGAGTGTAGTCAGGGTGAGAATGGAGATCGTTATGGCCTCAAAGAGTCCTGGGAGGCCTGTGGCGCACTGGTCCTTATAAGAGGAATCATATGGGGCCAACTCCAACATTTTCAATGGAGAATAAGAGAAAGTTTTTTATAGTATGTCTTGAAGATTAATCATTACATAGGTTTATGATTATAAAGGATTTTTGTCAATGGCATATTTAATATTCTTTATTTGGTGGTGGTGTTTGCATGGGATTAGAAACAGAGGGCCCTGGCACTCTTTTCACCAGTGTTATCTGGACTCTCCATATTTCTTAAAATAGGGCCATAGTCAGCCACTGTTTCTTTTCTGATTCTCAACCCACATTTCTTGGACCACCTTAAAGCGTCCGCATGCTTCCGAGCAAAAACAGTTCGGAAGAGTTTGTGCATATATTATGATGACATTTTGTGACATTTTTGTTTATTTTGGACTTCGGTAAGGTGTTTTTCGGGCACACAAAATGTTTTCTTGAGACAAGCCGAAGTCTGTAGCCGAAGTCTACGCCCCTTCGTCGGTGATTGGTCAACAGTAAGGATTCATCAGTAAATCCTTTGTTGTCATTCAATGAGAGACGACTCGTTTTCATGCAAATTTCTACATTGAGAATATTGCGTTATCGTAGATTAATTCTGACTATTATGAGGAAGTGTACTGGCTAAAATGGACTAACAATACTATTGCTGTTTTCAAGGTATTTCAAGGGAGTATGCGAGCACACATGTTCGGTTCGCCAAGCAGACTTCGGCTAGTTGCCAGCCGAACTGAAGCTTGCTGACGCCTTTTGTAGGTATATATGATGCAGGGAGTGGAAAAAAAAACCAGTCCATTTAATTGATAACAGATGCAGGAGCCCGGGAGGAGGTTAGAGGTCACTGTAACCATGGCAACCGTGTATGACTCAAATGTAGGGGGTTGGAGTTGCGGAGGTTAGAGAGGACCGCAGGGGTCAGAGTTAGGAGATCATTGCTGCGGCTTTTAAGACAAAGGACCACTTCCCTTTTCCTGCACGCACTCCCTGATCGATGTTGAGACAGTTGGGCCAGGCCAGAGCTTCTGTGCTGGTACCCCTCTGGAGCCTCCCTGAGTCTCCCCTGACCAAGCCTCATCTGCATCATTGGGGGAAGGGGGTCCTCAATAGCTTCTCAGTGGCACAGCAGCGGTGACAGCCCCACTGCCACTGCCCATCTGTCAGCCGCCCTTGGACGCGTGGCTATTCTATAGGTCCTGTTTAAACCGAAGCTATCAAAGGAAGGCTACTCTTTTATGGCTACCATTGACCCTAACCCTTCTGCATGGACTGTGATACTCTGTGTACGTTCTATGGGGAAGGAATATAATTGATGTAGCTAAAAATACCTCTTTGCAGCAAAGTACTGTGGACAAAGAATGAAAAGGGTGGTTAATTTGTAGATGGGAGGCCATTCAAAGTAACAAATAGCCTACTGAAACATTCAGAGAGAACGTGCTTTTATAAATAGTGTACATCCTGTAGAAAAGAGTTGCATGCTTATTGCATGCTTGCTGTTATGTTCAATTTGCATTTGCACATGGTGTAGAACAAAGATCATTTGCACTTTTTAACCCACTTTTAACCCTGTTCTCATAAAAAGGATGGTCATAGGCCACTGCATATAACTGGCCAGAGTTCTAACTGGCATATGCTGCCCTCTTGTGGATTGCAGGTGACAGCGCATCTCACTCAATACAAGATCAGGGGCTATATGTTGCGAAAGGGAAAGGGGGATACCTAGTCAGTTGTACAACTGAATGCATTCAACTGAAATGTGTCTAACGCATTTAACTCAACCCCTCTGAATCAGAAAGGTCCGGGGGGGGGATGCCTTAATCGATATCCACGTCATCGGTGCCCGGGGAGCAGTTGTTGTTGGGGGTTAACTGCCTTGCTCAGGGGCAGACAGATTTTTACCTTGTCGGCTCGGGGATTCGATCCACCAACCTTTTGGTTACTGGCCCAACTCTCCTATCAAATGTAGTCTCTTAATTTGAGCCAGTTGGCTAAAGCAGGAAAATAATCCTGCTGCAATAAGAAATGTAAATTATAATGTGGATTACAAATACTGGAAATTTTTGTAGGGGTTGATATACATTTTTCTTAAGGGAAATCAAGTCTGAAATTTCAAAGTGGAAATGACAAACTTCAGAATCTCCTGCAACAGGGTGATCAAATTAAGATCCTACATCTGAAGGATCAGGTCCTCACTCTCCATACAATCTTATTAATTGTGATATAAAAGCTAAGCTGATCCTAAATCAGCACCCCCTACGTTTATCAGCATGGTTGAGGGGATCAGTTTGTGCAAGGCGAGGTGCAGAATCGCTAATCTTCATCACATAATGAGTAGTTATTTGAGATGCAAGGTGATTTGTAGATCAGTGATTCAGTGATTCTGTGCAGTGTCTTCAATCTCAAACATGCACTTTGTCTTGTTTTTTTAGGTGCTACAACTGCGGCGGCCTGGACCACCATGCCAAGGAGTGCAAGTTGCCGCCCCAGCCCAAGAAGTGCCATTTCTGCCAGAGTATTGCCCACATGGTCGCCAACTGCCCAATCAAAGCACAGCAGTCCTCACCAGGTTCTCAGGGAAAGCCCTCCTCCTTGAAAGGGGACGAGGAGGAACACGGCCACTCACTCCTGCCCCCCGTGAGCTCCGATTGAACGAGGAGACGCAGGAAGGAAGCCGGGGGAAGCACAGAAACCAATCAAACTGCTTTACTGGAAAGATAGCCGCTAAGTTTCCTTTCAACTGTATAAGATGCTTATGGAACTACCTCAGGTTTTTGTAAACAAAACGATCATGAAGAAAGAATGTTACTGAAGTAATTTTTTTTGGGTGTAACACTCACAAATACAGCTGTATTATTATAGCACTCAGGAAATATTTGTAAAAATGTATGGAACCGCTATTGAGGGGTTTAAACTTGTAATAAGTTATGGCACATCACATATTATTTTGATGTCTTTATAGAATAGAAAGTCGTTTATTTTTTACAGAGCAGATCATGAGAAACCATGCCACTCACACTGGCATGCTACTATACTAAACTCACCAGGAAGCTTAAAATCACAGTGTCAAGTAGATAGCTAAACACTTTTTCTGCCTTACAACCTCTTGACTTTCCTGATTGTTACACCCCACTATATCCGACAAAGACAGAGTTGTGACACTACACCTCTGCAATGAATGTTAGTCTCATGGGTGGTAATGGCTGGGTACATACGAACCAACGGGACGGGGTATTGGATAATAGCTATAGGCAATGTATTGGCGGCTGCCAATATTGCAAGTGACCATCCAGATGTCCTGGGGACAAATGAATGTCAAACCAAAAAGTATGGCTTCTATGGCCAGCTTCCGGTTGTTATTGTTGCGTCATCTCTTTATGTTGGGGTGGCACAATGCGGTCTCTCTTAGGTGCTCAGTCTCCCTCGTGGTACATGTCTGATCTGCTGCTGCTGCTACATTACAACCCTACACTAGAACCCTACAAATGTAGAATCTTAATTTGATCACTCTTCTGTTGCTGAGAATTTTCATGCACAGCAGAAAATGCAACTTGTAGTGTATTCAAGGTTTAAAAGGGCTTCTAAAGTTTGTAATTTCCACTTTAAATGTCAGACTTTATTTGCCCTAAAGAAAAATGGATCAACCCTTATAAAAAAATGTCCATTAATTATAATCCACATAATAATTCAAATTTCCTGTTGCTGTAGGATTATTTTCCTGCTGTAGCAAACTGCCTTGAATTAAGATTTTACATCTGTATAATCAACTTGATCATCCTCTGCTTAGACTACATACATCAGTATTTGGAATTTAATCACTGACTCCAGTAATTACACCAAGTACCTGTGAAATGTATCAAATAAGTAATTTATCATGTCTACATAGAAATCAGATACAAGATTTTAATGGATTATTGAGGTTGATTCAGGAATCTACATAATCATACATGTCCTGTTTATACTTGACAGTCGAAGCAGCAGCATCAGGCGTTGTCTACTGTCTTAGAAAAAAAGGTGCTGCTTAGAACCATAAGGGTTCTTCGAGTGAAAAAGGCTTCATGTAGAAACCTATCCCACTACAAAGATCCCTTTTGAGAACCCTTTTTTTAAAGAGTAAAAGCGGGAGCAACGCGTTTTTTAATCAGTGTCGTCAATTACTAGGTACCTATTTAAGACATTGCCTCCAAGCTTCTTGTGAGGGCTATAAAGGAACACCACAGTCGTATTCACAAGGCACCAAACGGACTGAAACAGGGAGGGACTACCAGAATTTGTCCAATAAGAAACGGTTGTTATCGTTCGTTGCGAATCGTTTTTTTCTACGGTGTGCACAAATGAATACGACCCAGCCCTGCATGGAGGTGCATGTAGAACTAGCTAAGCCAATCAGCCTTTTACTCCCGTTTTACAGGAGAAGCTGAAAGACAGACCGCTAACATCCAATTAATATATATTTAGAATTATTATGAAGCCTTTTTAAAATAGTCGTTATTTATTTGTATCTAAATTGCGCTGCAGCTTCTCCTCATATTCAGGTTTAGGTCACTCCATGATAGCCTGGTCCCAGCTCTGTTTGTGCTGTCTTGCCAACTCCTATGGTCATTGTTACGGCAAACAAAAACAGATCTAGGACCAGGTTAACTGTGATGGGTTTCCCATCACATACTATACATCAGATATCTTAGCCACTCATGTCTGCCTTTATCTTGTTCAATGCTATTTGAGTTTAAAGGGATGTAATACCCCAAATCAAAGTTTGTCAGATGTTTAAATACCTCAAAGGGGTCTTCTGTGGGGATAAGTCCATGTCCCAGGCTAGTTTTGTATCCAGCTATGCCATAATCCAGAATGGAATTGCAGTGCTTATCTTTTCCATTCATTTGGGGTTGAGGCATATAGCTGGATCTACACCACCGATGGCATAGGATGTGGATTCATCTTGACATAAGACTACTTTTGTGGTCTAGAAACATTGGACAAATTTTCAATGTTATAATGACCCTTTAATTAATTATTTTGTTCTCTTTACTTTGCCTTGTATGATTTCCTGCTCCACACAATTAGCGTTCCAGCAACGTTGTGAATCTTCACTTTTTATCTATGCCAAAACCAATGCAAATGTCACTCTGCACTAATCATGTATGAGATGCAATATTGTATTCTATTCTATTCAGTTTAATCTTATGAATATGTGTTCCATATTTTTATATTTTGATTAACAAGATGCTGTTGTATGTAACATATATATAACCTCCACTCAGGCTTGTCTCTCAGGAATCACGAATCTGAAAACTCAGGGAATACTTCAGATTTTTTGGAAGGCTTGGAAGGGGCGATGGAGGAGGGTTGGGGAGGGATGGGATTGGGGTGCAATGTTTGTCTATATTAGTTGTATGTGTGCAGTGAAAGACAAGGATGTGTTCTGGTGCCAAATCAAAGCGCGTGACAATAACATGGTAGAGGACCAGTTTTGAATGTCTTGGCATAACAGAAAAACTCTATTTTCTCTAATCCGAACAAAATGCTTTAAAATGCCAGTTAATCATGAAGAATAAAACACATTCATAGCGTGTCCTTAAAACTAGTTTTTAAATGTTTTGACATGTGAGACTATATGAGGTGTTATTACACACAATATTGTATATATAAGTATATACTTATACTTTGTCAACATCTAATACCACATCTGCTGATGTTCTCTATTATTTTGCCCTACATAATTATATGCCATGATAGGCCAATAATATTCCTCTATTATTGTATGTTTCCCTCTATAATCGTTATTGATGGGGAGTTTAGGAGAATATTGTTACCTTATTAAGGGATTGGGGCTAGTAGTATTATACACATTGGGGTTGTCTCGTCTCAATACATGGCTAAAACATGGTATTTCAGACTAATAATGCTTGTGACTAATAGAATGTGTCATGGTTGCTTCATACCCAGATTGTTGTTATTGGGTGGTGGGATATATTATTTTCCAAGTCGTACAAGTTTAAGTAAGTGATACGTGTTTTAACTCAGGATTTTGTCATGTAAAGAAACGTGGTGAAAGAAAATGTCCATTGATTCAGTCATGTGGGACTATAGCGCACATAGAACATCTGTGTCTAATAAGATTCAAGTTATGTGCTTTTTAAATGAATATTTGTACTTGCTGGGTTTAGAAAATTTTGCAGTATGAATGACCTATATCCTTCCCATTAAAAAAGAGAAACACCCACGTGTATTTTGCTCATCTCTGGTAAGTAAGCCCTCTGATGATTAAATTACATCAGTTGTTTCACAATGTATCACTCTCGACTTCTCAAATTCTCCACTGTGGACTGATGAAAAGTATAATATGACTCATTTCTGCAGAGGTCATTGCTTAGATCATTTCACTGTTCTGGACTAGTAGAATTAAGCAATGCAAGTGCCAAACTGAATGGATATAATGGAAACAAAGCTATGTTGTACCTCAATAACTATATTAGCTAAATTAGTATCTTGTATGGCACAGCAAAAGTTGTTTTTGAACCATGTGTGTTTGAGAAAAACTGTTTTAGCTCAAGCTATTTTGACTCCCCATTGATGTGTTGTTGTCACATTGTGATTTGATTGTTGTTTGTTAGATGGGTTAGATTAATCTTTAAAGGCAAAGGACTGAGTATATTATTATGTGCTCAGGGTTACATGGAAACCACAGAAAAACATATAGGCTACTGCATAAACAAGTGACCCTTGTGTCATGTTTATGCTTTTTGTGCTATTCCATCATTTGTGATCATAGGCCATTTGATGCAGTGGTGTGGTATCTATGGGGGATGTTGCCTGTCATTTCCAAATAATGTGCATTTATTATACTGAGGAATGTATCAATGTTTACTGCCATAAACCTTTGGCTCTTGAACCATATAATCTTATGCTCTGGTATCTCAGGGTACTGGGTTGATTGGTTGGACTTGTTTTTCACTTCCTCAATTTGTTAAATGGTGTGAAGCATGCATTCCAAATACACTGTGACTAACAGTTTACTGATTTGTGAAGATACAATTTCCTACTAGTTAATAATAAACATCTGTCAATACTCAATGTGTTTCCTGTTGTCGTTTTTTCTCCCAATGCAAGAATATGTACAGTGGGGAGAACAAGTATTTGATACACTGACGATTTTGCAGGTTTTCCAGAAAATCACATTGTATGATTTTTAAGTAATTAATTTGCATTTTATTGCATGACATAAGTATTTGATACATCAGAAAAGCAGAACTTAATATTTGGTGCAGAAACCTTTGTTTGCAATTACAGAGATCATACGTTTCCTGTAGGTCTTGACCAGGTTTGCACACACTGCAGCAGGGATTTTGGCCCACTCCTCCATACAGACCTTCTCCAGATCCTTCAGGTTTCGGGGCTGTCGCTGGGCAATACGGACTTTCAGCTCCCTCCAAAGATTTTCTATTGGGTTCAGGTCTGGAGACTGGCTAGGCCCCTCCAGGACCTTGAGATGCTTCTTACGGAGCCACTCCTTAGTTGCCCTGGCTGTGTGTTTCGGGTCGTTGTCATGCTGGAAGACCCAGCCACGACCCATCTTCAATGCTCTTACTGAGGGAAGGAGGTTGTTGGCCAAGATCTCGCGATACATGGCCCCATCCATCCTCCCCTCAATACGGTGCAGTCGTCCTGTCCCCTTTGCAGAAAAACATCCCCAAAGAATGATGTTTCAACCTCCATGCTTCACGGTTGGGATGGTGTTCTTGGGGTTGTACTCATCCTTCTTCTTCCTCCAAACACGGCGAGTGGAGTTTAGACCAAAAAGCTATATTTTTGTCTCATCAGACGACATGACCTTCTCCCATTCCTCCTCTGGATCATCCAGATAGTCATTGGCAAACTTCAGACGGGCCTGGACATGCGCTGCTTGAGCGGGGGGACCTTGCGTGCACTGCAGGATTTTAATCCATGACAGCATAGTGTGTTACTAATGGTTTTCTTTGAGACTGTGGTCCCAGCTCTCTTCAGGTCATTGACCAGGTCCTGCCGTGTAGTTCTGAGCTGATCCCTCACCTTCCTCATGATCATTGATGCCCCACGAGGTGAGATCTTGCATGGAGCCCCAGACCGAGGGTGATTGACCGTCATCTTGAACTTCTTCCATTTTCTAATAATTGTGCCAACAGTTGTTCCCTTCTCACCAAGCTGCTTGCCTATTGTCCTGTAGCCCATCCCAGCCTTGTGCAGATCTACGATTTTATCCCTGATGTCCTTACACAGCTCTCTGGTCTTGGCCATTGTGGAGAGGTTGGAGTCTGTTTGATTGAGTGTGTGGACAGGTGTCTTTTATACAGGTAACGAGTTCAAACAGGTGCAGTTAATACAGGTAATAATGGGGGAATAGGAGGGCTTCTTAAAGAAAAACTAACAGGTCTGTGAGAGCCGGAATTCTTACTGGTTGGTAGGTGATCAAATACTTATGTCATGCAATAAAATGCAAATTAATTACTTAAAAATCATACAATGTGATTTTCTGGATTTTTGTTTTAGATTCCGTCTCTCACAGTTGAAGTGTACCTATGATAAAAAATTACAGACCTCTACATGCTTTGTAAGTAGGAAAACCTGCAAAATCGGCAGTGTATCAAATACTTGTTCTCCCCACTGTATGTTATATGTTGTTTATACATTCTTAAGAATAAAAGTTTTTTCTAGCCACTGATTATTTGCATTGAATGGTCGAAAACAGTTCCGCATTCATCTGCCAGGGGCAGTCTACTTAAGCAATAAGGCCGAGGGGTGTGGTATATCTGTATTTGTATTTATTATGGATCCCCATTAGCTGTTGCCAAGGCAGCAGCTACTCTTCCTGGGGTCCAGCAAAATTAAGGCAGTTCATACAATTTTAAAAACATTACAATACATTCACAACACACTGTGTGCCCTCAGGCCCCTACTCCACCACTACCACATATCTACAGTACAAAAATCAATGTGTACGTGTGTGTATAGTGCGTATGTTATCGTATGTATGCATGTGTCTGTGCCTATGTTTGTGTTGCTTCACAGTCCCTGCTGTTCCATAAGGTGTTTTTTAATCAGTTTTTTTAAATCTAATTTTACTACTTGCATCAGTTACTTGATGTGGAATAGAGTTCCATGAAGTCATGACTCTATGTAGTACTGTGCGCCTCCCATAGTCTGTTCTGGACTTTGGGACTGTGAAGAAACCTCTGGTGGCATGTCTTGTGGGGTATACATAGGGGACCGAGCTGTGCGCCAATAGCTCAAACAGACAGCTCGGTGCACCCAACATGTCAACACCTCTCATAAACACAAGTAGTGATTAAGTCTATCTCTCCTCCACTTTGAGCCAGGAGAGATCGACATGCATATTATTTATTAGCTCTCTGTGTACATCCAAGGGCCAGCCGTGCTGCCCTGTTCTGAGCCAATTGCAATTTTCCTAAGTCCTTTTTTGTGGCACCTGACCACACGACTGAACAGTAGTCCAGGTGTGACAAAACTAGGGGGTGCCTTAAGCAATAAGGCCGGGGGGGTGTGGTATATGGCCAATATACCACGGCTAAGGGCTGTTCTTATGCATGACACAGCGTGGAGTGCTAGGACACAGCCCTTAGCCCTTGTATATTGGCCATATACCACACCCCTTCTGCCTTATTGCTTAAAGCACCCTCTAGTTGCCTTATTGCTATTATAAACTGGTTACCAAAGTAATTAGAGCAGTAACAATTTAGGTTAATTGATGTTAATAGCTAGCTAGCAGGACAAGCAAACATTGTTGTGCAAATCTCTCTGTATTCTAGCAAAGCAAAATCATATAGAATTGTAAATCCAGACACAGCTATGATTTGCTTTCCTTTTTGGTTGTGCTTGCCCTGAACTAATAACAGGCGGAACTATGTTTCATGAACAGAATATTTTCAAGCAAACATCTGCTTCTTCCCTGATCGGTTAATGGCAGCTGTGGCAGCGTGCAATTTGCATAAAGTAGAGCAGAGCTGAACTTTTTCTATCACTCGGCTAGCAGGGTTCGCGCCGCTCACCTTCCCACAATCCCCTGCGCATTGCTCCGCGTTCTCACGTTGAAAATGAATGGGGGGCGGAACTTCGTCTGGCGAAATCGGAAGTGGTGGAAACCCTACTTAATCCAAGATGGCCGGGTTTACGGGTTTATGTTTTAAAAGAAAGGTGTCACGTATCGCATGGTTGTTATGCAAAAGAACCGAGGTGATGAGGCATACAGTATGCAGAACCTTCACCAGTGGATGCAATACTCAACAACAACAGCTATCAAGAGCGAGGGGTAGTATTTGTATGTATTCAACTGAATCTTCAATCAATGGTTGTACGGCCCTACTGTACAGAAACCACGGGGACCCTGCTCAAGTTGTTCAGTAAGAATGTTAGCTATGTTAAAATAATTGAGTACTGCGACCCATTTAGTCTGGATGTAAATGCAATGCTGCCGTGACGTGCAGTCATAGTTGCAGATGTATCTGAGGAGAGAATCCAGAGGCTTCAAATGTGTCTTGTGTACTTTACAGGTTGGAGAGCATGGAGCTTCCCTCTGTTGGTGCGAAGAGTGTCCTTGTAAAATTGTTGGCAGCCCCCGTCAACCCTTCTGACATAAACATGATCCAAGGTAAAAAGGAAAGAAAAAACAACATACACTGGACACACACACAATTTAATTTATTGTTGATTTCCTCTCATGAATGAACTGGATTGAGTTCAAATTGATCCTAACTATAGTTGTTTTATATCCAAAGCCAATGTCTGTATTTGGTCCTGCAGGTACCTATGCCATCCTACCTGACCTTCCAGCAGTAGGGGGAAACGAGGGGGTGGCCCAGGTCCTGGAAGTGGGCAGCCAGGTGAAAGCACTCAAACCAGGGGACTGGGTGATCCCAAGATGCTGGATTAGGTGAGTTAGTACTTTAATGCTCACGAGATACTACTGGGCTGAAATATCTGTCTAGGTTTACATTCAATCCCTTTCAATTGCCCTTCATGCTTTAGAAATCAGGGGCCTCATTTATAAACCGTGCATATGTACTAAATAGACCCCAAAGCATGCATGCGCCAGTTTCCATGCAAAAGTTGCCATTTATAAAACCTGAACTTGACATTAAAATGTGCTCACCTTTCCGCAAACTTTAGACAATGCGTACGCACAGTTTCTAGTGGTTGAAGTATTGCGTTGCAAGCAGGCAAGTAGATGAGAATTTTGTGCAAATGAGGGATATGATGGGCAGGCTAATTCATAACAATAAACAGGTTAATAACAAGATGCAATCATTTGCTGTTAGTGAGAAGAGAGAAAATCTATTTTGTTTCTTTGCATTTTTAAATAATTCAAAATAGGCATCTATTTCCAAGGCTATTATTTATTTCATTTCCATGATGAGAAACAACAGTCTATAATTAGTTTAAGACATGAAGGTCAGTCAATACGGAACATTTCAAGAACTTTGAAAGTTGTGGTCCTCTGTAGCTCAGCTGGTAGAGCACGGCGCTTGAAACGCCAAGGTAGTGGGTTCGATCCCCGGGACCACCCATACACAAAAATTTATGCACGCATGACTGTAAGTCGCTTTGGATAAAAGCGTCTGCTAAATGGCTTATTATTATTATTATTATTATTATTATTATTATTATTATCATTGCATAATAAATTCCTCACCTTTTCTGTGATGGTTTTATACTTACGAGGTAGCATAGGCCTACAACAAGGATACCATTCGTCCCATCTCTAATTTAATTGGACCCACTTCACAGTAGTAAAATGGATAAGCTAATTTAAGTATTTTGCTCTATGCCAGGGGTGTCAAACGTACGGCCCACGGGCCGGATCAGGCCCGCAAACGGGTTTAATCCGGCCCGCGAGATGATTTTGGGGAGAAAAAAAAAGGTTATTTTTTATTTATTTATTTATTTTTAGGTATAAAAATGCGCTGCAATTTTTCAATAAAATAAACTGCTGTTCCAATTGCGTCCATGGGATGGCGCAATAGCAATTGTGTTAAGCAAGCAAACTGTTTATATCGGGGCAGAGCAAGTAGGTCAAGCACGTGCAGCCAATGAGCTACTTTGTTTTGCCCGCGATATTTATTACGGCTTCTACTTTTAACATTATGTGCTTTGGCACCCTCATTGCCCCAATATGTCTCTGTCAAAAAAGAGAAGTGGACGCAGAGTGCAGAGTGTTCCAAGAAAAATGGTCATCCTATTTAATCACGGAATTGAATGGGAAAGCTGTATGTTTGGTGTGTTCAGAGCATGTTGCAGTGCTGAAAGAATATAACCTTCGTCGCCACTATGTGAGTCTTCATGCCGACAAATATGACAACTTTCAAGGACAGCGGAGATGAGAGAAGGTGAATGAACTGTTGGCGGGTCTGAAGAAACAGCAGTCTGTGTTTACTCACAGCCGAGACATCAGTGACGCTGCAGTGAAAGCTAGCTACCTCATTGCTAATGAAATCGCAGTGGCTTCAAAACCATTTAGTGAGGGTGAATTTGTAAAAACATGCATGATGAAGGCAGCGGAGATTGTGTGCCCTGAAAAGCGGCAGGCTTTTGCAAATATCAGCCTGACAAGAAACACAGTTGCAGACAGGATTTCCGATCTTTCAGTGGATTTGGACAGCCAGTTGAAGCAAAAAGTAAAGTCATTTATTGCGTTTTCGGTTGCAATTGATGAAAGCACGGACATTACAGATGTTGCACAACTGCCCATTTTTTCATCCGCGGAGTTGATGACACATTGACCGTCACCGAGGAGTTCGTGGAGTTGGTGCCGATGACAGATACAACGACAGCAGCTGATATTTTTACCGCACTCATCGGCGCGCTGGACAGGGTCGGAGTGGACTGGTCCCGCGCTGTCAGCCTGGCTACAGATGGTGCGCCCTCAATGATCGGGAAAAAAGCAGGCGTTGTGACAAAGTTCAGAGAGAAAGTGCAATCTGCAAATGGAGGACGTGATTTTTTGACTTTTCACTGTATTTTGCACCAGGAGGCTTTGTGTTGCAAGTCATTAAAGAAGGATAACGTCATGAAGGTGGTCATCCAAACTGTTAATTTAATCCGATCCAGAAGCCTGAATCACCGTCAGTTTGACAGCCTTCTCAGAGAGAAAGACCACATCTATGGCCTGCCATACCACACTGAGGTAAGATGGTTAAGCCGAGGTGCTGTGCTGAGGCGTTTCTTTGATTTACGAGAAGAAATTGAACAGTTCATGGAAGAAAAGGGCAAACCAGTGTTAGAATTTCATTCCGCAGAATGGATGCCAGACCTTGCATTTATGGTGGATGTTACAGAGCACCTGAATAACTTGAACAAACAGCTGCAAGGGCGCAACAAAGTTGTCACGCAGTATTATGACAGCATACGTTCTTTCAAGTTGAAGCTGTCATTGTGGGAGACGCAACTTGCCGGTGGTGATGCAGCTCACTTCCCCTGTCTGAAAAATGTGTGCGCGACCCAACATGTGGCAGACATGAAGCGGTTCAAAGATAAAATAACTGGACTGTTACGGGAGTTTGAGCAACGCTTTCAGATTTATGTTTATATGTTTTTATGTTGATGTGCTATTGTTTTTAATTGATTTTATTTGTATATTTAACCTATTCTTGACTCTGTGGTTCTTGCACTTGTTTGGGGAACAGGATTTCATTATTTTTATCTACATTTCTGCCTGAGAAATGACACCCTGATATAGTTCTGTGATCTGTGATATACTTCTGTGAATCACTGAGGCTTTGTGTGTTCTTTGTCCTCAGAACTTTCAAATAACTTGAGGTGTTTTATGATTAATAGTGATGTTGTGCTTTTGGACACTGTCCTCAGGCTCCAGCTTTATGTTTATATGTTTTTATGTCGATGTGCTATTGTTTTTAATTTATTTTATTTTATTTGTATATTTAACCTATTCTTGACTCTGTGGTTCTTGCACTTGTTTGTGGAACAGGATTTCATTATTTTTATCTACATTTCTGCCTGAGAAATGACACCCTGATATAGTTCTGTGATCTGTGAAACAGTTCTGTTAATCACTGAGGCATTGTGTGTTTGTGTGTTCTTTTTCTTTAGAATTTTCAAATAAACTTGACGTGTTTTATGATTAATAGTGATGTTGTGCTTGTACTATTTTGGACACACTGTCCTCAGGCTCCAGCTTTATGTTGATCGTATTAAAACAAAGAAAACAATCTGAAGTTGTTGTTTTTAAGTTATATATACACCATGATTTTTCCGGTCCGGCCCACTTGGGAATAGATTTTCCTCCATGTGGCCCCTGAGCTAAAATGAGTTTGACACCCCTGCTCTATGCCATCCGATCCGGAGCACAGTTTATTAATGGTGGAACAGACAGTTGTAGGTTACTTGTGTAGCTTACACCTGAATACTGTAATTTCACATTTCTTGAGTAGACAATATTGCATTCACACACACAATCAATTTTTCATAACCATTGCAGAATAAATTCTTCACCTTTTCTGGCCATGATGGGTTCATATTCTCGAAGTAGCCATAGCCTACAACCCATTATCATGCGCATCTCTCATTCAATTGGGCCTATTAGATTCAAGTATTTTACTCTATGCATCAGAAAGGAAGCTGGTTTATAACGTACAGTAGAATTGAACAGGTGAACAGACAGTTTATTTTTTTGCATTAAAGTGTGTATCGCTACCACTGTAAGCACACCATTTTTCAGAATTCGGGCAGTGCAGCATAGGTTCGAGGAAAAAGTCAATGCAAAACATTAGGCCCTATTAAATTGTCTGTTTACAGGTCCACAGCAATTTGCAATTGTTTTGTCTTTCATAAACCTTCTGTCTGTCAGATAGCCTAGGCCTACAGCAAATGTCACTGCAAAAGTTTAACATTCTGCCATCACCTAAAAAGACATTTGATCAAGTTCGCTATTGCTATTTCCTTTAGGAAAATGCATTGGCCTAATTCGAATACTTCCAAAGTATACAGCAAATAAGGGCATTATTGTCACCATAAAAGGTGAATGATGGGCGTTTTTCAGGCAGAGTTTTAATGCTCGTTCATGCACGCACAGTTTCAGGACAGGTCTGATTTATAACGTAATGTATGGCGTGCGCCAAGTTTCTAAATCTCAATATTTGTGTACGTGTGCAGTCTTCTCAGAAATGGCGCACGCAGATATTTAGTGTGAAATTTACGCAACGGTTATAAATGACGCCATACATAAGGATGTTTCTCGTTATAAATCAGACCTGTAGTAAAACTGTGCACGCGTGAACGAGCATGAAAATTCCGCCTGAAACTCCCATCATTCACCTTTTATGGTCACAATAACGCCCTTATTTGCTGTATAGTTTGGAAGTATTGGAATTAGGCCAAGTTAGTTCTTGTTGGAAAGGTGACATTCTATGACGGTGCCACGTTGAAAGTCACTGAGCTCTTCAGTAAGGCCATTCTACTGCCAATGTTTGTCTATGGAGATTGCATGGCTGTGTGCTCGATGTTATACACCTGTCAGCAGCGGGTGTGGCTGAAATAGCCGAATCCACTAATTTGAAGGGGTGTCCACATACTTTTGTATATACACTACCCGTCAAAAGTTTTAGAACACCTACTCATTCAAGGGTTTTTCTTTATTTTTAAAATTTTCTACATTGTAGAATAATAGTGAAGACATCAAAACTATTAAATAACACATATGGAATCAGTGTTTTATATTTGAGATTCTTCAAATAGCCACCCTTTGCCTTGATGACAGCTTTGCACACTCTTGGCATTCTCTCAACCAGTTTCACCTGGAGTGCTTATCCAACAGTCTTGAAGGAGTTCCCACATATGCTGAGCACTTCTTGGCTGCTTTTCCTTCACTCTGCCGTCCGACTCATCCCAAACCATCTCAATTTGGTTGAGATCAGGGGATTGTGGAGGCCAGGTCATCTGATGCAGCACTCCATCACTCTACTTCTTGGTCAAATAGCCCTTACACAGCCTGGAGGTGTGTTGGGTCATTGTCCTGTTGAAAAACCAATGATAGTCCCACTAAGCCCAAACCAGATGGGATGGCGTATCGCTGCAGAATGCTGTGGTAGCCATGCTGGTTAAATGTGCCTTGAATTCTAAATCAATCACAGACAGTGTCACCAGCAAAGCACCCCCACACCATAACACCTCCTCCTCCATGCTTTACGGTGGGAAATACACATGCGGAGATCATCCGTTCACCCACATCGCGTCTCACAAAGACACGGTTGGAACCAAAAATCTCCAATTTGGACTCCAGACCAAAGGACACATTTCCACCGGTCTAATGTCAATTGCTCGTATTTCTTGGCCCAAGCAAGTCTCTTCTTCTTATTGGTGTCCTTTAGTAGTGGTTTCTTTGCAGCAAATAGACCAGGAAGGCCTGATTCACACAGTCTTGATGTTGAGATGTGTCTGTTACTTGAACTCTGTGAAGCATTTCATTGGGCTGCAATTTCTGAAGTTGGTAACTCTAATGAACTTATCCTCTGCAGCAGAGGTAACTCTGGGTCTTCCGTTCCTGTGTCGGTCCTCATGAGAACTAGTTTCATCATAGCGCTTGATGGGTTTTGCGACTGCACTTGAATAATAATAATAATAATAATATGCCATTTAGCAGACGCTTTTATCCAAAGCGACTTACAGTCGTGCGTGCATACATTTTTGTGTATGGGTGGTCCCGGGGATCGAACCCACTACGTTGGCGTTACAAGCGCCGTGCTCTACCAGCTGAGCTACAGAGGACCACAACTTTCAAAGTTCTTGAAATGTTCCGTATTGACTGACCTTCATGTCTTAAACTAATTATAGACTGTTGTTTCTCTTTGCTTATTTGAGCTGGTCTTGCCATAATATGGACTTGGTCTTTTACCAAATAGGGCTATCTTCTGTATACCCCTATTTCCCCACCTTGTCACAACACAACTGATTGGCTCAACGCATTAAGAAGGAAAGAAATTCCACAAATTAACTTTTAAGAAGGCACACCTGTTAATTGGAATCCATTCCAGGTGACTACCTCATGAAGCTGGTTGAGAGAATGCCAAGAGTGTGCAAAGCTGTCATCTAGGCAAATGGTGGCTATTTGAAGAATCTCAAATATAAAATATTTTGATTTGTTTAACACTGTTTTGGTTACTGCATGATTCCATATGTGTTATTTCATAGTTTGTCTTCACTACTATTCTACAATGTAGAAAATAGTCAAAAGAAGAAAAACCCATGAATGAGAAGCTGTTATAAAACTTTTTACTGGTAGTGTATAGTGTATGTATTATGTTTATAAATGAAATAATGTCTACGCAATAAATTTCGCATTACAGTACTACAAACGTCAATAGAAAAGGTGAACCGTCTGTTCTACCGTTAAACTGCACTTCGGATTGGATCGCATGGAGCAAAATAGGCTACTTTAAATAGCTTAAGTATTTACTACTGTGAAGTGGGTCCAATTAATTGATGGGACAAATGGTAGTCTATCCTAACTTGTTGAATGCCTATAGGCTATTTTGCGAGTAGCCTATGAAACCATCACAGTCAGAAAAGGTGAGGAATTTATTCTGCAATGATCATGGAAATTAAATAAATAATAGGATATGCCCATTTCTAATTATTTTAGCATGCAAAGATAAATTGGTTTACGCTCTTCTCACTAACCGCAAATGACTGCATCTTGTTTTATATTTAGCTAGGCCTACCTGTTTTTTTGTTGTTATGAATAAGAGTGTCATCATATATTACGCATTTGCACAAGGCTACTACTAGCCTACTATGCCTTCTTGCAATGCAATACTTCAACCACTAGAAACTATGCATATGCATGGTCTAAGGCAGGGGTGTCAAACTCATTTTAGCTCATTTTAGCTCAGGGGCCACATGGAGGAAAATCTATTCCCAAGTGGGCCGGACCGGAAAAATCATGGTGTATATATAACTTAAAAACAACAACTTCAGATTGTTTTCTTTGTTTTAATACGATCAACATACAACATAAAGCTGGAGCCTGAGGACAGTGTGTCCAAAATAGTACAAGCACAACATCACTATTAATCATAAAACACGTCAAGTTTATTTGAAAATTCTAAAGAAAAAGAACACACAAACACACAATGCCTCAGTGATTAACAGAACTGTTTCACAGATCACAGAACTATATCAGGGTGTCATTTCTCAGGCAGAAATGTAGATAAAAATAATGAAATCCTGTTCCCCAAACAAGTGCAAGAACCACAGAGTCAAGAATAGGTTAAATATACAAATAAAATAAAATCAATTAAAAACAATAGCACATCAACATAAAAACATATAAACATAAATCTGAAAGCGTTGCTCAAACTCCCGTAACAGTCCCGTTATTTTATCTTTGAACCGCTTCATGTCTGCCACATGTTGGGTCGCGCACACATTTTTCAGACAGGGGAAGTGAGCTGCATCACCACCGGCAAGTTGCGTCTCCCACAATGACAGCTTCAACTTGAAAGAACGTATGCTGTCATAATACTGCGTGACAACTTTGTTGCGCCCTTGCAGATGTTTGTTCAAGTTATTCAGGTGCTCTGTAACATCCACCATAAATGCAAGGTCCGGCATCCATTCTGCGGAATGAAATTCTAACACTGGTTTGCCCTTTTCTTCCATGAACTGTTCAATTTCTTCTCGTAAATCAAAGAAAACGCCTCAGCACAGCACCTCGGCTTAACCATCTTACCTCAGTGTGGTATGGCAGGCCATAGATGTGGTCTTTCTCTCTGAGAAGGCTGTCAAACTGACGGTGATTCAGGCTTCTGGATCGGATGAAATTAACAGTTTGGATGACCACCTTCATGACGTTATCCATCTTTAATGACTTGCAACACAAAGCCTCCTGGTGCAAAATACAGTGAAAAGTCAAAAAATCACGTCCTCCATTTGCAGATTGCACTTTCTCTCTGAACTTTGTCACAACACCTGCTTTTTTCCCGATCATTGAGGGCGCACCATCTGTAGCCAGGCTGACAGCGCGGGACCAGTCCACTCCGACCCTGTCCAGCGCGCCGACGAGTGCGGTAAAAATATCAGCTGCTGTCGTTGTATCTGTCATCAGCACCAACTCCACGAACTCCTCGGTGACGGTCAATGTGTCATCAACTCCGCGGATGAAAAAATTGCCAGTTGTGCAACATCTGTAATGTCCATGCTTTCATCAATTGCAACCGAAAACGCAATAAATGACTTTACTTTTTGCTTCAACTGGCTGTCCAAATCCACTGAAAGATCGGAAATCCTGTCTGCAACTGTGTTTCTTGTCAGGCTGATATTTGCAAAAGCCTGCCGCTTTTCAGGGCACACAATCTCTGCTGCCTTCATCATGCATGTTTTTACAAATTCACCCTCACTAAATGGTTTTGAAGCCACTGCGATTTCATTAGCAATGAGGTAGCTAGCTTTCACTGCAGCGTCACTGATGTCTCGGCTGTGAGTAAACACAGACTGCTGTTTCTTCAGACCCGCCAACAGTTCATTCACCTTCTCTCATCTCCGCTGTCCTTGAAAGTTGTCATATTTGTCGGCATGAAGACTCACATAGTGGCGACGAAGGTTATATTCTTTCAGCACTGCAACATGCTCTGAACACACCAAACATACAGCTTTCCCATTCAATTCCGTGATTAAATAGGATGACCATTTTTCTTGGAACACTCTGCACTCTGCGTTCACTTTTCTCTTTTTTGACAGAGACATATTGGGGCAATGAGGGTGCCAAAGCACATAATGTTAAAAGTAGAAGCCGTAATAAATATCGCGGGCAAAACAAAGTAGCTCATTGGCTGCACGTGCTTGACCTACTTGCTCTGCCCCGGTATAAACAGTTTGCTTGCTTAACACAATTGCTATTGCGCCATCCAGTGGACGCAATTGGAACAGCAGTTTATTTTATTGAAAAATTGCAGCGCATTTTTATACTTTACAAAAAATAATATATATATATATTTTTTTTTATCATCTCGCGGGCCGGATTAAACCCGTTTGCGGGCCTGATCTGGCCCGCGGGCCGTACGTTTGACACCCCTGGTCTAAGGTTTGCAGGAGGATAAGCACATTCTCACGTGAAGTTCAGTTTTTATAAATGCCACCTTTTGCGTGAACTGGCGCACTTATGTTTTGGGACATATTTTGTGCCTACGCAATGTTTCTAAATTAGGCCCCAGGGCCTTATTCATTAGGGCGGGGCACACAGTAGCAAAACATTTTGCAACGGAAAACAAAAACATGTACTTGGACAAGTTTAGGTGGTCCCTCCCTGTTTCAGTCCGTTTTCTATTTGGTGCCTAATGAACACAACCCTGTCCTTTTCTCTCTGTCTGAGCAGGGACGTGGAGGACAGCAGCGGTGTTAGCTGAAGACGATGTGATCTCGCTGCCCAATGACATCCCCCTGTTCTCTGCAGCCACACTGGGGGTTAACCCCTGCACTGCCTTTAGGATGCTCTCCGACTTTGAGGAGCTGAAACCAGGTGTGCTAAGTTCACCATTTCAACAAGTAGAATCTAAGCTAGCTGTTACCCATTTTTGTCCATTGTACCCTTATCCAATACCTTTTTCACTCCAATACCTTTTTCTCACTACTGCGCTAAGCCGAGCAGTGCTATATGATTCTGGCCTTGTTATGCATCAACGTAAGTTGCTGGAACGGAACATGTGAAAGTAAAATGTCAGAGCCAGCAAAGTAGGTTCGGGTTGGCCCAATAGTGTTAAAAGGGTACAAGTGAGCTTCAGTCTTTTATACAGAACCTAACCTTCCTTCATCACACTACACTGTATAATAGGTTTATTGCACTGCTCTTTGTATGTGAGTGCATTCCAGGTGACACAGTGATCCAGAATGCAGCCAACAGTGGTGTGGGTCAGGCAGTCATACAGATCGCTGCTGCAAGGGGGATCCAAACCATCAATGTGGTCAGAGACAGGTACATCCAATTGCCAGTTTTGTATTCATTAGGGCACGCAACTGAAAATGTTTTGCAACAGAAAACGAAAATTAGCGGTAGTCCCTCGACTCCCTCCCTGTTTCAGTCTGATTTCTTCGGTTTGGTGCCAAATGAATAGAACCAATGCATACTGCACTAAGCTACATTTCAAAAAGAGAACATCTGTGAATTAGTGACTGATTAAGAATTTGACCTTTCAGCAGCTGAAGTAAAACAATTTAGGGGGAGGATTCCAGCCCTAATGATAACACTGGGTATAATGAAAACAGCACTTTGAGTCTTGTTCTAGAACAGGGTTGTTGTAAGTAACCCACTATCATAATATAGCCTACTGCCCTAATAAAGTGATGTGTGAGAGAGACTGCTATAGAAACTTCCTTAGAAATCAGTGACTATATTAAGCAAGGTTGCGTATTCAAGAAGGCCCCTGTATTGAAAAACTGCATGTACTCGTGTGTCCCTTTTCACAGGCCAGATCTCACACAGCTTACTGATAGGCTGAAGGCCATGGGCGCCAGTCATGTGATCAAAGAGGAGACCCTGAGGCAGCATGAAATGAAGGAACTTTTCAAGGTCTGTGGATTTCAACACTGCTCTGAAGGCCTAAATGTGATAATGATCTTTCCTTGGATGTAAATTCACTATTTAATTTCCTTCTAGACCTGTCCAAGGCCTAAGCTGGCATTGAACGGAGTTGGGGGCAAGAGTGCAACAGAACTCCTCCGTCACTTACAGTGAGTATTCCGGTGACTGAACTGAACCTTCTTTGTTGCCATAGCTTGATGTTCTGAGATTCAAGTGGATTTGTAATCTGATCAAGTAAATAGTTTCCCTCCTCCTACTTTTTCAGAGTTGGAGGGTCGATGGTGACGTATGGAGGGATGGCCAAGCAGCCAATCACTGTTCCTGTGGTAAGACTGCTACTTCCTGGAATACTACCCTTTTTCTACCATGTTCCTCTATGAACTATTTCAACAGACAGTTTTATCTCTCCCGCTCATAAACATGGTGATAACTTTAAATGCTAATATCGATGGAAACCACTTGTGTGTTGTACGTACTTATAAAAAAATGGTCTGTCCTCTCCCCAGAGTGCCCTGATCTTCAAAAATGTGAAAGTGCAAGGGTTCTGGGTCACCCAGTGGAAGAGAACCCACTCTCAGGGTGAGCCAGGACTATTTAGATACAATACGCACACAAAATATGTAGGAGTCTGGAGAGACTGGTCTTTGCTCTGCATACCTCACATGCCATCATTGTGGGTCAAAGCTATTAGTGAGACACATGATTCCTTTAATTTTGTCCCATTGAATGTCCAGTATCAAATGTTACTTTCTTAAGCCTAAAGGTATGATGCTTTAGAACAGGGGTGTCAAACTCATTTTAGCTCAGGGGCCACATGGAGGAAAATCTATTCCCAAGTGGGCCGGACCGGAAAAATCATGGTATATATAACTTAAAAACAACAACTTCAGATTGTTTTCTTTGTTTTAATACGATCAACATACAACATAAAGCTGGAGCCTGAGGACAGTGTGTCCAAAATAGTACAAGCACAACATCACTATTAATCATAAAACACGTCAAGTTTATTTGAAAATTCTAAAGAAAAAGAACACACAAACACACAATGCCTCAGTGATTAACAGAACTGTTTCACAGATCACAGAACTATATCAGGGTGTCATTTCTCAGGCAGAAATGTAGATAAAAATAATGAAATCCTGTTCCCCAAACAAGTGCAAGAACCACAGAGTCAAGAATAGGTTAAATATACAAATAAAATAAAATCAATTAAAAACAATAGCACATCAACATAAAAACATATAAACATAAAGCTGGAGCCTGAGGACAGTGTCCAAAAGCACAACATCACTATTAATCATAAAACACCTCAAGTTATTTGAAAGTTCTGAGGACAAAGAACACACAAAGCCTCAGTGATTCACAGAAGTATATCACAGATCACAGCCTATGCCACCCTCCAGTCCCTCGACTTCCTGGCACTGACGGAAACATGGATTACCACTGAAAACACTGCTACTCCTACTGCTCTCTCCTCGTCTGACCATGTGTTCTCGCATACCCCGAGAGCATCTGGTCAGAGGGGTGGTGGCACAGGAATCCTCATCTCTCCCAAGTGGTCATTCTCAATTTTTCCCCTAACCCATCTGTCTATCTCCTCATTTGAATTCCACGCTGTCACAGTCACTAGCCCATTTAAGCTTAATATCCTTGTCATCTATCGCCCTCCAGGTTCCCTTGGAGAGTTCATCAATGAGCTTGACGCCTTGATAAGTTCCTTTCCTGAGGATGGCTCACCCTTCACAGTCTTGGGGGATTTCAACCTCCCCACGTCTACATTTGACTCATTTCTCTCTGCCTCCTTCTTTCCACTCCTCTCCTCTTTTGACCTCACCCTCTCACCATCCCCCCCCCCACTCACAAGGCAGGCAATACGCTTGACTTCATCTTTACTAGATGTTGCTCTTCTACTAATCTCACTGCAACTCCCCTCCATGTCTCCGACCACTACTTTGTATCCTTTTCTCTCTCGCTCTCCTCCAACACTACTCACTCTGCCCCTACACAGATGGTAACGCGCCGCCGCAACCTTCGCTCTCTCTCTCCCACTACTCTCTCCTCTTCCATCCTATCATCTCTTCCCTCTGCTCAATCCTTCTCCCTCCAATCTCCTGATTCTGCATCCTCAACCCTCCTCTCCTCCCTTTCTGCATCCTTTGACTCCCTGTGTCCCCTATCCTCCCGGCCGGCTCGGTCCTCCCCTCCAGCTCTGTGGCTTGATGACTCATTGCGAGCTCACAGAACAGAGCTCCGGGCAGCTGAGCGGAAATGGAAGAAAACTAAACTCCCTGCCGACCTGGCATCTTTTCACTCCCTCCTCTCTACATTTTCTTCATCTGTTTCTGCTGCTAAGGCCACTTTCTACCACTCTAAATTCCAAGCATCTGCCTCTAACCCTAGGAAGCTCTTTGCCACATTCTCCTCACTGCTGAATCCCCCCCCCCCCCCCTCCCTCTCTGTGGATGACTTTGTCAACCACTTTGAAAAGAAGGTTGACGACATCCGATCCTCGTTTGTTAAGTCTAATGACACTGCTGGTCCTGCTCACACTGCCCTACCCTATGCTTTGACTTCTTTCTCCCCTCTCTCTCCAGATAAAATCTTGCGACTAGTGACTGCAGGCCGCCCAACAACCTGCCCGCTTGACCCCATCCCCTCCTCTCTTCTCCAGACCATCTCCGGTGACCTTCTCCCCTACCTCACCTCGCTGATCAACTCATCCTTGACCGCTGGCCATGTCCCTTCCGTCTTCAAGAGAGCGAGAGTTGCACCCCTTCTCAAAAAACCAACACTCGATCCCACTGATGTCAACAACTACAGACCAGTATCCCTTCTTTCTTTTCTTTCCAAAACTATTGAGCGTGCCGTCTTTAGCCAACTCTCTTGCTATCTCTCTCAGAATGACCTTCTTGATCCAAACCAGTCAGGTTTCAGGACTGGTCATTCAACTGAGACTGCTCTTCTCTGTGTCACGGAGGCTCTCCACACTGCTAAAGCTAACTCTCTCTCCTCTGCTCTTGTCCTTCTAGACCTGTCTGCTGCCTTTGATACAGTGAACCATCAGATCCTCCTCTCCACCCTCTCCGAGCTGGGCATCTCCGGCGCGGCTCACTCCTGGATTGCGTCCTACCTGACCGGTCGCTCCTACCAAGTGGCGTGGCGAGAAGCTGTCTCCGCACCACGTGCTCTCACCACTGGTGTCCCCCAGGGCTCAGTTCTAGGCCCTCTCCTTTTCTCCCTATACACCAAGTCACTTGGCTCTGTCATATCCTCACATGGCCTCTCCTATCATTGCTACGCTGACGATACACAACTAATCTTCTCCTTTCCCCCTTCTGATAACCAGGTGGCGAATCGCATCTCTGCATGTCTGGCCGACATATCAGTATGGATGACGGATCACCACCTCAAGCTGAACCCTGGCAAGACGGAGCTGCTCTTCCTCCCGGGGAAGGACTGCCTGTTCCATGATCTCGCCATCACGGTTGACAACTCCGTTGTGTCCTCCTCCCAGAGTGCGAAGAGCCTTGGCGTGACCCTGGACAACACCCTGTCGTTCTCCGCCAACATCAAGGCGGTGACCCGATCCTGCAGGTTCATGCTCTACAACATTCGGAGAGTACGACCCTGCCTTACACAGGAAGCGGCACAGGTCCTAATCCAGGCACTTGTCATCTCCCGTCTGGATTACTGCAACTCGCTGTTGGCTGGGCTCCCTGCCTGTGCCATTAAACCCCTACAACTCATCCAGAATGCCGCAGCCCGTCTGGTGTTCAACCTTCCCAAGTTCTCTCACGTCACCCCCCTCCTCCGCACACTCCACTGGCTTCCAGTTGAAGCTCGCATCCGTTACAAGACCATGGTGCTTGCCTATGGAGCAGTGAGGGGAACGGCACCTCCGTACCTTCAGGCTCTGATCAGTCCCTACACCCAGGCGAGGGCATTGCGTTCATCCACCTCTGGCCTGCTGGCTCCCCTTCCTCTGCGGAAGCATAGTTCCCGCTCAGCCCAGTCAAAGCTGTTCGCTGCTCTGGCACCCCAATGGTGGAACAAGCTCCCTCACGACGCCAGGACAGCGGAGTCACTCACCACCTTCCAGAGACATTTGAAACCCCACCTCTTTAAGGAACACCTGGGATAGGATAAAAAAAAGTATATAATTGTAAAGTGGTTATCCCACTGGCTATAGGGTGAATGCACCAATTTGTAGTCGCTCTGGATAAGAGCGTCTGCTAAATGACGTAAATGTGCCCTTGAGCAAGGCACTTAACCCTAATTGCTCCTGTAAGTCGCTCTGGATAAGAGCGTCTGCTAAATGACTAAAATGTAAATGTAAACTATATCAGGGTGTCATTTCTCAGGCAGAAATGTAGATAAAAATAATGAAATCCTGTTCCCCAAACAAGTACAAGAACCACAGAGTCAAGAATAGGTTAAATATACAAATAAAATAAAAACAATTAAAAACAATAGCACATCAACATAAAAACATATAAACATAAATCTGAAAGCGTTGCTCAAACTCCCGTAACAGTCCAGTTATTTTATCTTTGAACCGCTTCATGTCTGCCACATGTTGGGTCGCGCACACATTTTTCAGACAGGGGAAGTGAGCTGCATCACCACCGGCAAGTTGCGTCTCCCACAATGACAGCTTCAACTTGAAAGAACGTATGCTGTCATAATACTGCGTGACAACTTTGTTGCGCCCTTGCAGCTGTTTGTTCAAGTTATTCAGGTGCTCTGTAACATCCACCATAAATGCAAGGTCCTGCAGGCATCCATTCTGCGGAATGAAATTCTAACACTGGTTTGCCCTTTTCTTCCATGAACTGTTCAATTTCTTCTCGTAAATCAAAGAAACGCCTCAGCACAGCACCTCGGCTTAACCATCTTACCTCAGTGTGGTATGGCAGGCCATAGATGTGGTCTTTCTCTCTGAGAAGGCTGTCAAACTGACGGTGATTCAGGCTTCTGGATCGGATGAAATTAACAGTTTGGATGACCACCTTCATGACGTTATCCATCTTTAATGACTTGCAACACAAAGCCTCCTGGTGCAAAATACAGTGAAAAGTCAAAAAATCACGTCCTCCATTTGCAGATTGCACTTTCTCTCTGAACTTTGTCACAACGGCTGCTTTTTTCCCGATCATTGAGGGCGCACCATCTGTAGCCAGGCTGACAGCGCGGGACCAGTCCACTCTGACCCTGTCCAGCGCGCCGACGAGTGCGGTAAAAATATCAGCTGCTGTCGTTGTATCTGTCATCGGCACCAACTCCACGAACTCCTCGGTGACGGTCAATGTGTCATCAACTCCGCGGATGAAAAAATGGGCAGTTGTGCAACATCTGTAATGTCCGTGCTTTCATCAATTGCAACCGAAAACGCAATAAATGACTTTACTTTTTGCTTCAACTGGCTGTCCAAATCCACTGAAAGATCGGAAATCCTGTCTGCAACTGTGTTTCTTGTCAGGCTGATATTTGCAAAAGCCTGCCGCTTTTCAGGGCACACAATCTCCGCTGCCTTCATCATGCATGTTTTTACAAATTCACCCTCACTAAATGGTTTTGAAGCCACTGCGATTTCATTAGCAATGAGGTAGCTAGCTTTCACTGCAGCGTCACTGATGTCTCGGCTGTGAGTAAACACAGACTGCTGTTACTTCAGACCCGCCAACAGTTCATTCACCTTCTCTCATCTCCGCTGTCCTTGAAAGTTGTCATATTTGTCGGCATGAAGACTCACATAGTGGCGACGAAGGTTATATTCTTTCAGCACTGCAACATGCTCTGAACACACCAAACATACAGCTTTTCCATTCAATTCCGTGATTAAATAGGATGACCATTTTTCTTGGAACACTCTGCACTCTGCGTCCACTTTTCTCTTTTTTGACAGAGACATATTGGGGCAATGAGGGTGCCAAAGCACATAATGTTAAAAGTAGAAGCCGTAATAAATATCGCGGGCAAAACAAAGTAGCTCATTGGCTGCACGTGCTTGACCTACTTGCTCTGCCCCGATATAAACAGTTTGCTTGCTTAACACAATTGCTATTGTGCCATCCCATGGACCCAAATTAGAACAGCAGTTTATTTTATTGAAAAATTGCAGCGCATTTTTATACCTAAAAAAAAAAAAAATTTAAACCCGTTTGTGGGCCTGATCCGGCCCGCGGGCCGTACGTTTGACACCCCTGCTTTAGAACCTGTTATGTGAATGAGTTGGTATGTATGAGCTTCTATAATGTCTTATAATAAGGCTCTCTATGTATCTTTCTGTCTCCCCAGATGAGGGGGCCTTACGGGGAATGCTGGATGAGCTCTGCTCCCTGATCCGCCAGGGAAAGCTGACCGCACCTGCCTGTTCCGAGGTGGGCCTCCAAGACTTCCGGCAAGCACTGGACACTGCCATGCAGCCGTTCACCTCAGCCAAACAGGTCCTTGTCGTGTGACCCTTCTTTTGACCAGCCCCGTCCGTTCTCAGGGTTGTGTTCATTAGGCACCAAATGGAAGAAATCGGACTGAAACAGGGGGGGACTACCTGGACTTGTGCAATAAGAAACAGTGTTTTGCAGCAGGTGCCCGATTTGAATACGACCTTGCATACAAAACGAAGTCCCCGCACGTTCAACGGGTGCAGCACCAAGGCTGCCGTCTCGACATTGTCAGAAATACGTTGCTAAAGCAAACACATTCAATATATGTGTATCTTCCGTAGAGGGTCAATGTCCACTATATATGTTATCAGCACCACTTTAAGTCATCTTTCCTGACAACGTTCCTGGAATTCTTTCAGAATGGTCATGGATTACTTGACAACTGTTATGTATTGTCTACGTTTGTTTCTCCTTTATGGTAACATTGTTATAGACTGGTCCCAGATCTGTTTGTGCTGTCTTGGCAACTCCTATGGTTATTACTATGCAAGATGGCACAAACAGATCTGGAACCAGGGTAACGTGGTTATGCAACACATGGTGTTCTGGTAAAACACTAATAAACATTTGGCAAAGATCAATCTATTTTATAGAGTTCCAATTACTTGTTGTATGAACATGAGCAAATACGATCATGACACGTATTAGACAGGTTTATTGCTTTAAAAACATTAATGCAGGGTCCAACTAGGGCTGTTATAGTGACCATATTACTGCCACCGGCAGTCACTAGTCATGACCGCAGGCAAATTCCACGTGAACATTTAGTCACGGTAACTAGGCTTCTCCAAGCGCTGATGCTGCTGATGCTCATCAGTAGCCTACCAAACCTGCTAACTGCCTGGTACTCAGCACTCTATTGTCCCTCTAATCACTCTGACATCAATGCAAATGTTTTCGAAAATCAAATCAAACACTTGAGAGCCCATGAGCTCATTTTCACAACATTTCTATAGGCTATGCAATTGTGTGAGAACAGTTTTGATGGCCTCTATTAAAAAGAGGAGGATCCCATCTGGGTTTTTAATAGGCCTACTATATTTATCATCTTTCCTCATATTAAGCACATTGTTTTGCTTTACAACAGGAGTAAAGCATATCTGGATGGCATGAAAATGAACCACGGGAAAAGTGTCCTCCATTCGCTATTTAAGTGCATAGATGACTTATTTTCTTCTCCCATGCCCCTGTTACGAGACAGGTGCATGGTAATGGTCCATTCTATACTGAACAAAAATATAATCGTAACATGCAACAATGTCAATGATTTTACTGAGTTACAGTTCATATAAGGAAATTATAGAGATATTTTATGTATCATTAAGGCAAATGTAGGGAGAGGTCAAAGGTAAAGTATAATAAACATGTTTGATATTTTATAATCCAGATGCATGCTTAAATAAGGAATATAGCCAATGCAGTATATAACTGTGTTTTAAATGAATGTATGTGCTCTTTCACAAAAGCTCTCAACCTAGAACCTATATACTTATTATGGACACAGTATGCTTTACATTAGTTATCTTCTTGTTATTAGTAGTTGTTATGTATATTCTTTTTTAAGAAAGGGCATGAGCCACGCAACCAATAGAATGGTAGAAGGAGAGGCTTCATATAGAAAAAGCATTCATGACCTTTTGGAGTGGACATTGTGTGACAGCTGGACGTTGAAAGAGAAGGGTGGTGCAGAACTAAAATAAGTTAGGAATTTGCCATAAGGGGTAACTGTATATGCCATGTAAGCATGTTTGTGCATTTGTGTGTGTATAAAAGGGAGCGCTAAGCCAAAGAGAGACATGGAACATCTTGGCTTTTGTTATTAGATAATAAAGGTCTACTTTTTGGATTCACAAGCTCCAGTTTCTTGAGAGATATTTTTGAGTTGACTACTTTTGAGTCAAATATTTCTACCACAAAATCGGTCAATTGAAATAAATTCATTAGGCCTTAATCTATGGATTTCACATGACTGGGCATGGGTGGGCCTGGGCTGGCGTGGTTACATGAGTTTTTCCCCACAAAAGGGCTTTGTTACAGACAGAAATACTCCTCAGTTTCATCAGCTGTCCAGGTGGCTGGTCTCATACGATCCCGCAGATGAAGAAGCCGGAAGTGGAGGTCCTGGGCTGGCGTGGTCTGCGGTTGTGAGGCGGGTTGGACATACTGCCAGATTCTCTAAATCGACATTGGAGGCGGCTTACGGTAGAGAAATGAACATTAAATTCTCTAGCAACAGCTCTGGTGGACATTCCTGCAGTCAGCATTCCAATTGCACGCTCCCTCAAAACTTGAGACATCTGTGGCATTGTGTTGTGTGACAAAACTGCACATTTTAGAGTGGCCTTTTATTGTCCCCAGCACAAGGTGAACCAAGGTGATTCATGCTGTTGAATCAGTTTATTGATATGCCACACCTGTCAGGTGAATGGATTATCTTGGCAAAGGAGAAATGCTCACTAACAGGGAAGTAAACAAATGTGTGCACAACATTTGAGAGAAATAAGCTTTTAATGCGTATGGGACATTTCTGGGATCTTTTATTTCAGCTCATGAGACATGGGACCAACACTTTGCATGTTGCGTTTATATTTTTGTTCAGTGTAAATCAAAACTATTTTAACACATTATTTAGTATATGTAAAGACAACATTAAATTAAGAATAGTCTGATGGGTGACAATATAAGTCTATCACTTGTGAATGATGTATTATAAATTGTGAATGATGCCCAGCGTGTGCAGTAAGGCAAGAAACAGCACATGCCTTTTTTTTTTTTACTTTCTCAAATCATAGTCGCACACCTCATGTAGCCTAGCCCATAGGCCTATGTTTTGAAAAGGTTTGTATCACAACTAAAGTGGCCAAATAACTTAATATGAAGCACATTAATTTGCTTTACAACCAGTGTAGAGCCTAACTGGCATACATAAAAATGCACCTTTATACAGTGGGGGAAAAAAAGTATTTAGTCAGCCACCAATTGTGCAAGTTCTCCCACTTAAAAAGATGAGAGAGGCCTGTAATTTTCATCATAGGTACACGTCAACTATGACAGACAAATTGAGAAAAAAAATCCAGAAAATCACATTGTAGGATTTTTAATGAATTTATTTGCAAATTATGGTGGAAAATAAGTATTTGGTCACCTACAAACAAGCAAGATTTCTGGCTCTCACAGACCTGTAACTTCTTATTTAAGAGGCTCCTCTGTCCTCCACTCGTTACCTGTATTAATGGCACCTGTTTGAACTTGTTATCAGTATAAAAGACACCTGTCCACAATCTCAAACAGTCATACTCCAAACTCCACTATGGCCAAGACCAAAGAGCGGTCAAAGGACACAAGAAACAAAATTGTAGACCTGCACCTGGCTGGGAAGACTGAATCTGCAATAGGTAAGCAGCTTGGTTTGAAGAAATCAACTGTGGGAGCAATTATTAGGAAATGGAAGACATACAAGACCACTGATAATCTCCCTCGATCTGGGGCTCCACGCAAGATCTCACCCCGTGGGGTCAAAATGATCACAAGAACGGTGAGCAAAAATCCCAGAACCACACGGGGGGGCCTAGTATATGACCTGCAGAGAGCTGGGACCAAAGTAACAAAGCCTACCATCAGTAACACACTACGCCGCCAGGGACTCAAATCCTGCAGTGCCAGACGTGTCCCCCTGCTTAAGCCAGTACATGTCCAGGCCCGTCTGAAGTTTGCTAGAGTGCATTTGGATGATCCAGAAGAGGATTGGGAGAATGTCATATGGTCAGATGAAACCAAAATATAACTTTTTGGTAAAAACTCAACTCGTCGTGTTTGGAGGACAAAGAATGATGAGTTGCATCCAAAGAACACCATACGTACTGTGAAGCATGGGGGTGGAAACATCATGCTTTGGGGCTGTTTTTCTGCAAAGGGACCAGGACGACTGATCCGTGTAAAGGAAAGAATGAATGGGGCCATGTATCGTGAGATTTTGAGTGAAAACCTCCTTCCATCAGCAAGGGCATTGAAGATGAAATGTGGCTGGGTCTTTCAGCATGACAATGATCCCAAACACACCGCCAGGGCAATGAAGGAGTGGCTTCGTAAGAAGCATTTCAAGGTCCTGGAGTGGCCTAGCCAGTCTCCAGATCTCAACCCCATAGAAAATCTTTGGAGGGAGTTGAAAGTCCGTGTTGCCCAGCGACAGCCCCAAAACATCACTGCTCTAGAGGAGATCTGCATGGAGGAATGGGCCAAAATACCAGCAACAGTGTGTGAAAACCTTGTGAAGACTTACAGAAAACGTTTGACCTGTGTCATTGCCAACAAAGGGTATATAACAAAGTATTGAGAAACTTTTGTTATTGACCAAATACTTATTTTCCACCATAATTTGCAAATAAATTCATAAAAAATCCTACAATGTGATTTTCTGGAATTTTTTCCCTCATTTTGTCTGTCATAGTAGACGTGTACCTATGATGAAAATTACAGGCCTCTCTCATCTTTTTAAGTGGGAGAACTTGCACAATTGGTGGCTGACTAAATACTTTTTTCCCCCACTGTAATAAAGCATTACATGCATAATCACATTTTTGAGAACAGTGTTTTCCCGCTAATTGATTGCATTTTGGAACATTTGCGCTTATAGCCTACTGCCGTGTGCGCATTGCTGCGCTTATAATGTGAAGAAATAGCCTAATAGTTGATCAACATTTTAAGCTAAACGTTCTGATCTGTTGCATCAGCCTCATTGCGTAAAAAAATAAATATGCGAGTGGTTGTATTAATTTGGGATCTATCACATCCCACAACTGTCCCAGAGTAGGCTATGTTTAGAATATTTATTTATTGCACAAAAGGACAAGTTGACCAATAGAATAGGTCAACTTTTGTACTATGGGGGATAGTAGATTGACATAGACTAGTGCTTTTGCTGTTCGTTAGACCTACTCATCTTGTTGGCTGATGAAAAGTAGGATAAATGTGGACAGAATTCGATGAGGGACACTTATAGCCTACTTCTTAGCTGAGATGCATGTGAGAAGGACCCGATCATGTTACGGGCATTGGCTAATAAGAATTGAGATATCTGAGAGAGCCATGTGAGTGAGAAGTGCTTCGGAGTACTGCAGCCGGGAGAAGGGAATTATAATTATTATATTCAGCCCAAGGGCACAACGGCTACTTTGGCCGCAAAAGGCATGGATTTTTTAGGTGGCATTATGGCCACACAAGGGGGATGCCGCCGGGAAATTTGAGGGCTGGTGAGAATATTATCAAGTGCTTGTCAAATTGTGAATGAGAGACTGATGAAGTGTGTGCAGCCTGCACAATAAACAAATCAGATAATAATAAACACATTTTTTCAAATCATCATTAGAGTCGCATCATGCAGCCTTAGAATGTATTAAAAATCAAAACATATAGCCAAACGTTTGTAACACAACTAAAGTTGCATAAATAACTAAATTAAGCATATAGGAGGACCTGTTTATTTGTTAACCGCTCAACACAGAATAGTAACATGTGCGCACTTCCTTGGAAAGCTTTTGGAGAAAATATCCTTTCTATTTTATTCAGCTATGTTCAATTGTATTCTTCGTACTGTGAAAAAATAAAACATAATGCCACAGAATTTTAAGCAAATCTTGTCTGCTAAATGAACTAGTGTAGCCCACAGCGATATGGCATTGCCATATCAGGGCCAACCATAAGGACAAAATAGACTACATTTTCTTCATATCATGTTTCTTTAGACCTGTCTAAAATAAATAATGGATTTATTGTAATGATGTAGGCTATACTAAATGGATTTATTATACTTTTTTAAATGTAGATGTTCCAAAGGTCTGCATCAGTGGCTTGTAGGTGTCACGTCTACTCCTGCTCCCTTCCTCTGGCGCTCGACGTCTCCGGTCTACTAACCACCGGTCCTGGCAACCCACATTGCGCACACCTGGCAACCATCATTTCGCACACCTGCTCCCCATCGTTAAGCACACCTGGACTTCATTACCACCCTGATTACTCTCCCTTCATATAGCCCTCAATAAGCCTCAGTCATCAGGCAGTGTTGTTTTCTCTCACGTTCAGTACACGGCTCATGTTTGTTATTTTGTATCGTTTCATTATTAAACTCACCTTCTGCACCTGCTTCCTGACTCCCTGCGTATACGTTACAGTAGGCTATGAGTGGAAGCCAGGAGATGCTAAACCCGTTTATGTTCATTCATGGTCAATTATCGTGAGACTGCAACTTTTATGTTAATTAACGGTCAATTACCATGAGATGGCAGTTATTTGCTTGACAATCACCTGCGGACAAAATTTCATGACCGCCACAGCCCTAGGTTCAACTCAATCTTCAAAATATTATAAATTGATTTATTAAAATAAGGACTATATGGAAATTGAAATGAAAACATTGCTCATTCTTGCTACAGTCTACCACAAAGAATGGGCCTCGCTCGAGTATCAAAATGATTTTCAGGTGGTAGAAATGTTACTTTACACCAATTAACATGAGTTAAAATAAGTCACAAAAAGAGTTTTGAAATCAAAGGTCGTGGATCTTCTTATTAAACCATTTTTTTCTAAATGTTCATAGCATTACTTTAACAAGCATGGCACATTATTGAAATTGAGATGCACAGACTGGAAAATGCAGCATGCAGTCAATCCGTGAATTCTGATCGCTATACTCAAAAAGAGGCATTCTTGAAAGATCTTATGTTAGAAAAAGTTAAATGTATCTATTTGATTAAATCATTTAAGGTAAATGTCCTTAATCGCAACATTTGGAAGAAGGACTCCATAGGATGGAGCAGCCTTTCAGTCTTTTCATTGTAGGCAGCCAGTAGTAATGGATCCATGTCTTTGGTGCACATTGAGATCATTAACAGCTGGACCAGACCAGACTGATCACCACAGAGAGAACTGGCAACAAGGCAACACCAGTCGATGACGCCCTCTCTTTCTCCAGACAATGCTCGTACCTCTCAAAGTCTACCTCTCTAGCAGCACACACGTGGTTGACGCGGCAGTCACTGTTGCACTCTGTCAGGTCGTAGTTGACTGAGTTGAACTCGTAGTACTTCTGCAGATAGCAGCGGTTGCTGGCCATGCGCTCTGCGACCTGGTGCATGGAGGCCGGGGAGGCGTCAGGCACACGAAAGCTCTCAGTGAAGCGGTACTCTTTCTCCCAGCGTGCCTGGGCCACGTTGGCATGGGTCAGGTTCAGGTAGTAGGTCACCATGTCCTGTGGGTTGAGAGACAGATTGGAGACAATCACCAGACTCCATCAACCATCTCCCTGACCATTTTCATCTGATCAAGCCATGAACTGACCTTCTCCATTTTGCTTTTGCTTTTGAAGCGCTTAGAGATGTTTTTCTGTTATGAAAAGCGCTATAGAAGTTAAAATACATGATTGTTATTATAATTTTTAAAGCATAACATAGTCCACAAAGCGGGTAGCAGCAGGGTAGCACATCCAGCACAGTTGCTGGAGCCGTGCAGGAAAGAACAATGTGAAAATAAACTATCTGAGCCAGCACAGTATGGTTTGGTTCGGTCCTATAGTGTTAATCAGGCATTAATGGAAGAGGCAGAATGGTAAGATTATGTTTCTGAGCAACCATTAAATTGATAGATTGTTTTGGCTTTTAAGAAGAAAATAAAATACCTGAGTCCGTCTGCTCTTACTTTGACTAGAAGGGTTTGGGTGTCATATTCAAAGACACGGATCCCAGGGTTGTTGGCTCCGTCTATGACCCCAGGTAAGGTGGTCTTCCAGGGAGTGACCCCAGGGGTCAGGAACATGGCACTGATAGGGGAACCTGGGGAAAGACAATTGGTGAGATACTTTAGATGAGAGGCACAAGTACTATAGGTTGGCAGCACACATAGATTTTTCCCTGCATCCAATGTTTGAACAATCATGTTAAAATGTTGAATTAGCCTGGTCCCAGATCTGTTTGTGCTCTTGCCAACTCCATTGCTATGTTGGCAAAAGATCAGAAACAGACTATGACCCTGGCTAATGTTGAATGTCTGGAGGTGGTGGAACAAAGTTTGACAAAATTGAATGAAAGTGTAGTATGTGTATCCGTTAAATGACACTGTACCTTCCGAGCTGTAGAACATGCGGAAGCTGTCAGTGTGATGATGGCCGAAGAACTGTCCGATAATGAGAGGGTGATGCTTCTGGATCAGCTCTAGGTAGCGTTTGTTGAAGTTCGGTCGAAACCAAGGCTTACTTCGCTTCTTCTCAAAGAACCCTGGTGGAACGTAGCCAATGATGTAAACCTAAGAGCGAAATCGGTGAGGGATTGCGATTAAAGCGTATAAGGATATCCTCAAAGTCCGTATGCAACATCTGCGTTACAAGTCTCAGATAGGGCTACCACTTCATGAGAGCTTGATTCAAATCACCTCCACTACATATGAAGAAAACAGGAGTTTGTTATCTCTATATTTTCTAACAGATGCTTGGCTTTTACTGGTAGAGTTACTAGGCACTTATCTTCTCTTACTATTTCTTGCAACATAGAGAGCAAGGTAAGACTTGTTATAACAAATAACAAGGTTATTTGTTACTTATCTATTTTTACTTCACTTTTTTTCTTAAAACTGCATTGTTGGTTAAGGGCTTGTAAGTAAGCATTTCACTGTAAGGTCTACACCTGTTGTATTCGGCGCATGTGGCAAATAACTTTTGATTTCTTTTGATTTGATTTGAAGACCTTTTCTTTGTTGTTGGCAGCTTCTGTAAGAACTTGGTCTGCCCAGTTGAACTGGCCGGCTGGATCGTCTATATTTTTCTGTGGCCTTGTTCTGGTCGTAGTATAGGTTAGTGTTGAGGACTACAACCCTGTAACCTGGTCGATTCAGCAGCTTCTCTGTATAGTATCCACCTATAAAGAAAAAAGAGGAAAGACAAGACAACTGATTGGACTGGAGTTGACTAATTCCACTCCAGACTCCATTGACTGGTTTCCCAGACACGGATTAACCCTAGTCCTGAACTAAAAAGTGATTTCAATGAATTACGTCAATTGAGCATGCATTTTAGTCCAGGAGGCTTAATCTGTGTACAGGTGGTATACCCCTACCCACATGCACAAACTGTATTACGTCAACTTCCTCGTACCCCTGCACATTGACTCAGTACTGGTATTCCTTGTATATATATTGTATATATATTGTTTTTATTGTTTTTATTGTGTTACTATTTCCTTTTTTTATTCAGCAAATATGTGTCTTATCTTTTAACTCTGCACTGTTGGGAATGGGCTCCTAATTAAGCATTTCACTGTAAAGTCTACACCTGTTGTATTCAGGGCATGTGACCAATAAAAATGTTTTTGATTTTACATGACCAAGCCTAGGCAGGATCTGTTGTAGTTTACCTGTACGGAAGGTTGTTTGAGACTCTGGTTTCAACCAGCCCTGCCACAGCTGTGCTGTCTGTTCATAGATGTTGTTCTGGGCTGGGGGTAGCTGGCTCTTCGGGTGGTAGTCATGATTCCCCAGCGCTGAGTACACTTTAGTACCTGAAAGGTAACATGAGCTGATCATATGGCTTTGATGAATATATCCAAAAAGACAACAAAAGGAAAACGAAATATCTTTCCGTTTGACCCTGAGGGACTTCCCCCTCAAAAGCTTTGGAGGTTATACACACTTGGAAAAACAAGCTTTATGATGTGGGTGAGGTTGCTGATAATGGAGAGAACCGCCTCTTCTCCCAGATCCTCGTTCGGGACATGCGGCGTGTCATCTCTGTAGGGCAAATGTCAGGTTGTTATAATGGGCCTCTTTTAGAGAAAGTCAATCACAGGTGTAGAGCTTTATATACAGTACATGGGAGCAATCCTCAATGGAAAATTTTACTTTAAGAAGGTACAGTGCTATGAAAAAGTATTTGCCCCCTTTCTAATTTTCTCTACTTTTGCATATTTGTGATACTGAGTGTTATCAGAACTTCAATCAAAACCTAATATTAGATAAAGGGAACGTAAGTGAACAAATAACACAACCAAACTCTGCATTCCATAGTAAGAACATCATACCAAAGGTCAAGCATGGTGGTGGTGGTGTGATGGTTTGGGGATGCTTTGCTGCTTCAGGACCTGGACGACTTGCCTTAATAGAAGGAACCATGAATTCTGCTCTGTATCAGAGAATTCTACAGGAGAATGTCAGACCATCCGTCTGTGAGCTGAAGCTGAAGCGCAGCTGGGTCATGCAGCAAGACAATGATCCAAAACACACAATCAAGTCTATATGAAAATTGCTAAAAAGCAACAAATTGGAAGTTTTGGAATGGCCTAGTCAAAGTCCAGACCTAATCCCAATTGAGATGTTGTGGCAGGACTTGAAACGAGCAGTTCATGCTTGAAAACCCACACGTTACTGAGTTAAAGCAGTTCTGCATGGAAGAGTGGGCCAAAATTCCTCCTCAGCGACGTGAGAGACTGATCAACAACCACAGGAAGCATTTGGTTGGAGTCATTGCAGCTAAAGGTGGCACAACCATGTGTGAGTGTAAGGGGGCAATTACTTTTTCACACAGGGGAATTGGGTGTTGCATAACTTTGTTTATTAAATAAATATGTAATTGTTGTGTTATTTGTTCACTTATGTACCCTTTATCTAATATTGGGTTTTGGTTGAAGATCTGATAACTTTCAGTATCACAAATATGCAAAATTAGAGAAAATTAGAAAGGGGGCAAATAGTTTTTCATAGCACTGTAAATGTACAAGTACACTGCTCAAAAAAATAAAGGGAACACTTAAACAACACAATGTAACTCCAAGTCAATCACACTTCTGTGAAATCAAACTGTCCACTTAGGAAGCAACACTGATTGACAATAAATGTCACATTCTGTTGTGCAAATGGAATAGACAACAGGTGGAAATTATAGGCAATTAGCAAGACACCCCCAATAAAGAAGTGGTTCTGCAGGTGGTGACCACAGACCACTTCTCAGTTCCTATGCTTCCTGGCTGATGTTTTGGTCACTTTTGAATGCTGGCGGTGCTTTCACTCTAGTGGTAGCATGAGACGGAGTCTACAACCCACACAAGTGGCTCAGGTAGTGCAGCTCATCCAGGATGGCACATCAATGCGAGCTGTGGCAAGAAGGTTTGCTGTGTCTGTCAGCGTAGTGTCCAGAGCATGGAGGTGCTACCAGGAGACAGGCCAGTACATCAGGAGACGTGGAGGAGGCCGTAGGAGGGCAACAACCCAGCAGCAGGACCGCTACCTCCGCCTTTGTGCAAGGAGGAGCAGGAGGAGCACTGCCAGAGCCCTGCAAAATGGCCTCCAGCAGGCCACAAATGTGCATGTGTCTGCTCAAACGGTCAGAAACAGACTCCATGAGGGTGGTATGAGGGCCCGACGTCCACAGGTGGGGGTTGTGCTTACAGCCCAACACCGTGCAGGACGTTTGGCATTGGCCAGAGAACACCAAGATTGGCAAATTCGCCACTGGCGCCCTGTGCTCTTCACAGATGAAAGCAGATTCACATGTGACAGACGTGACAGAGTCTGGAGACGCCGTGGAGAATGTTCTGCTGCCTGCAACATCCTCCAGCATGACCGGTTTGGCGGTGGGTCAGTCATGGTGTGGGGTGGCATTTCTTTGGGGGGGCCGCACAGCCCTCCATGTGCTCGCCAGAGGTAGCCTGACTGCCATTAGGTACCGAGATGAGATCCTCAGACCCCTTGTGAGACCATATGCTGGTGCGGTTGGCCCTGGGTTCCTCCTAATGCAAGACAATGCTAGACCTCATGTGGCTGGAGTGTGTCAGCAGTTCCTGCAAGAGGAAGGCATTGATGCTATGGACTGGCCCGCCCGTTCCCCAGACCTGAATCCAATTGAGCACATCTGGGACATCATGTCTCGCTCCATCCACCAACGCCACGTTGCACCACAGACTGTCCAGGAGTTGGCGGATGCTTTAGTCCAGGTCTGGGAGGAGATCCCTCAGGAGACCATCCGCCACCTCATCAGGAGCATGCCCAGGCGTTGTAGGAAGGTCATACAGGCACGTGGAGGCCACACACACTACTGAGCCTCATTTTGACTTGTTTTAAGGACATTACATCAAAGTTGGATCAGCCTGTAGTGTGGTTTTCCACTTTAATTTTGAGGGTGACTCCAAATCCAGACCTCCATGGGTTGATAAATTTGATTTCCATTGATAATTTTTGTGTGATTTTGTTGTCAGCACATTCAACTATGTAAAGAAAAAAGTATTTAATAAGATGATTTCATTCATTCAGATCTAGGATGTGTTGTTTAAGTGTTCCCTTTATTTTTTTGAACAGTGTAGTTCAATTTACACACACACACACACACACACACACACACACACACACACACACACACACACACACACACACACACACACACACACACACACACACACACACACACAAGGGCTATATAAAATAAACGTGAGTTTGTTGTACCCTGTCCAGACGATGAAATCCGGATCTGGCAGAATGTCTTTCATTGCATACACTGTGGAGTTAATAAGGTCCCATGGCGCGTCGCAGAGGTAGTCTCCAAATTTACCCGCACTGGGCACAGGCCGTTTTCCACTGGATGCACACACACGCTCAGGATTGTCGGTGAGTTTATAGGTTGGGTCCCAGTGAAGATCCGTGATGTGCCAAAAGTTGCCTGGAAAGAGAAGTACTGATGACACGCAGATAGATCGACTACAACATTATCGAATGGTTATCTAACAACACATAGCTGCATTGTTTTATATTATTGATTAGGCTATATTAAATACATTATTTAAATTGTTGAATGTATACTGTTAGGCCATTTTATGCACTCACCTGACAGCCCCAGAACTTTCCCGCATGTGAAAAGAAGACAGGACAGGAGGATTGTCCGCATCGCAGCCATAGTGCGCTCTGACTATCAAGGGGAAGATAGACTCACTGGACAGACCAAGGACAGACGTGCACGCCGTAATCTATGACGTCATGACTCATGTCCCTAGTTAAATAGCCTAGTCTCTAAAATGAAAGATAAGAAACAGCTCGGTTGAAGTTATACTTATGCATATGTAGTGTCTGAGGGTCTATGATTGTGCTGACGTTTGCAAAAGTGTGTTAGAGGAAACTTGGCTCTGCTTTCGGAAACATCTGGAAAGCATTACTACATTCCTGGAAAAGAGGATATGGGAAGAAATGTGAAAAGCCAGGGATTGGTGTATTAAAATCACGCCATACTATGTCACATAGGATATAAATACCATGTCTTGAACAAAGGAGGGAAGAATAGCAAATCACAGATTGGGTCCGGCTGTTCTTCAGATATATGCAGGTATCTGTAAATCTGACGCTGAAACTCTTTGTTATAATAAACCTTTATAATCAAAGTACAGTGTCAGCGGATCTTCTTATCATCACAGCATAATTAGCAACGTTGACTTGGACACCACACATACTAATTTATCTCTATATTCTATTAGGCCTACTAATATACTGAGGCACATGGTTCCAAATATTTGTCAAAATAGGCTATAAAAATTAATTTATAGTGACCTGTAGCAAATACTATTTCTAACACTAATCAACAACTAGATGTAATGTATTCTTTTGTAATTTGGTTCCAATAAAATTGAGAGTTTGATGACCCAGCAGCAGAACGGGGACACAGCCTTTTCACGCCACTTCGATAAAAAGTGACTTTGGTAGCAGGTTAGGACAGCGATGGGTTCGTGCTGATTGTACGGATATTGTGACAGCCGGTTAAATGCCGTCCCTTGAGAGAGCAAAAACAAGATTAGGGGGTTGAAGAGAGAGAGGAGGAAGAGGGTGAGCTTGAGTCGGTTAAAAATGGCGGGAAAAGGGGAGATGATTTGTTGAAGAAGAACGGTAGAAAGTGTAAACAGAGTGAGCTGTACGCCAGATTGAAGCCAGGAGGAGAAATGGAAGTGAATGAGGGCGAAGTATCGGAGGTGGTAGTTGTGGTGAAGTTACCGGATCCCGAGGCTTGCACCGATGGTCAGGATAAAGATGAGTCTGTGACAGTAGGAGTGACATTTTTGGGAAAAGTGGACCCTTGCCTTTTGGCTGATCCATTTGTGGTTTCAGGGTGGGTGAAAACAGAGTTGGTTGCTGTGGAATCGGTGAAGGTAACCAGAAGTGGTCTTGTGATAATTGTTTTTGTTTCTGCTGGTCAGAGGGAGCAGGCGCTCCGTGTTAAACGAATGGGGACAAGAGATGGAATTGTTTTGCTCTCAATGAAAGGGCGCCATTGAGAGGAGTGGTTACTGGGGTAGCTGTAAATGTGATAGTTAACCAATTAAAGGGAAAGATTCCCCTGCATTTTTGCTAACCCTAACCTTAAACGCAGTCTCCTAACATTTGGTCACGCAGAAACGAGATACCAAATGTGTGGCTGTTTTATGAAAATCTGTGAATGCTTGGCCAAGGACACATTTCTGGTTGGTGTCAGGGAATGTACAACGGTTAGGAAAGGAGACTTTGGAAACCGAATTGAGTGAAGTGACAGCAAATATGTTGAATGAGCAACTAATGAGCATGGAGGGCCTCAAGTTTGACGAATTCACCTTATGTCTTCTGTAGCTCTTTTGTAGCTCTTCGTCAGAAGCACGCTTTTTGTAAGTAGTTAACTGTCCTCCAAGTTTAGCTGGAATTTAGACCGAAGGGATTTGATGTTGAATATCAGATCTAAACAACGATTTGAGAAATGTTTAACATCACCAGTACTACATCCTTATGATGTACAGTACCCGTCAAAAGTTTTGACACACCTACTCATTCAAGGGTTTTTCTTTATTTTTTACTATTTTCTACATTGTAGAATAATAGTGAAGACATCAAAACTATGAAAAAACACATTTGGAATCATGTAGAAAACAAAAAAGTGTTAAACAAATCAAAATATATTTTATATTTGAGATTCTTCAAAGTAGCCACCATTTGCCTTGATGACAGCTTTGCACACTCTTGGCATTCTCTCAACCAGCGTCATGAGGTAGTCACCTGGAATGCATTTCAATTAACAGGTGTGCCTTGTTAAAGGTTAATTTGTGGAATTTCTTTCCTTCTTAATGTGTTTGAGCCAATCAGTTGTGTTGTGACAAGGTAGGGGTGGGATACAGAACATAGCCCTATTTGGTAAAAGACCAAGTCCATATTATGGCAAAAGCAGCTCAATTAAGCAATGAGAAACGACAGTCAATCATTAATTCAAGACATGCAGGTCAGTCAATCTGGAAAATTTAAAGAACTTTGAATGTTTCTTCAAGTGCAGTCGCAAAAACCATCAAGCGCTATCATGAAACTGACTCATGAGGACCGCCACAGGAAAGGAAGACCCAGAATTACCTCTGCTACAGAGGATAAGTTCATTAGAGTTACCAGCCTCAGAAATTGCAGGCGACAAGTTTAGTTCCAAAGCCCATAGAAACCCATGATGCCCATGATTTTGGAATTAGATTTTAGACGAGCAGGTGTCCACATACTTCTGGTCATACAGTGTACCTCTGGGCAAGCTAGTGCGTCTAACAATCTCGCATGTTCATTGGTTTAGCTACCAAATGTAGTCAGAGAATCTCATTGGACAATGGATTTCGCGGGAGCTCTGTAGGGCGCATGCGTTCTTCACTGTCAAATTTCCAGCGCGCGGAATTGTACAAGGAGAGGAGTCGCAGTGAATACTTTTTACACGTTGTATTGTCTTGCCACCTGTTTAAACATTATTTTGTCCTACAACGTAAGGTAACGGCACCATGTGGAACCAAGGTGAGTTTGTCTTTGTAGCAATGTTTTTTATGGCTGTCAAGAATAGTCCAAAAGCTCTGCCTAGTTGTTGTAAATAACGTTAGCTAGCGTTATCTTGCTAGCTAGTGAGTCCTGTTTTGTTGTGCAAAGTTTGGGCGCCTAGCTGGTTACAGTAGCTGACTTGGCCGTATTTCTTCTGTAAACTAAAATGCACCGACCTTTTATTCGTACAGTAACTACTGTAGTTATGTAGCTACATGGCAACAGGAAACAACAGTAGCTAACGTTAGCTAGGTAACTAACTAGCTAGCTAGTGTTTTTGTCAGCTAGCTATTTGGCTCGCTAGTTAACGTTGTGTGTAGTCTCCATCAATCAGCTAACGTTACCTAGCTAGTAATGCAAGCTTGGTACCATGGTTTTAGCCAAACAGTGGATTGCTGCTGCAGTTGCCTCATTGTCTGTCATTTAATGTAGGGGGATCATACGGTGAATCAAACATGGGTGGTGGATACACTCAGTCACCGGGAGGATTCGCGTCACCAGCTGCCTCCCAGGGAGGAGAGAAGAAAGGGGTCTGTATTTGTCACTTTCACCAACTCCATATGTTACACAGTTAGGGAACTGCTAGTGGAAAAGGTCTGTCATCGTAATATTAGCAGCTTAGCCTATGGGCAACAGTTAAATAATAGCTAGACAGACGGTAAACATACCCATCCCCACGCACTATTGTGTCTGCCATTGTGTTTTATTTATTTTTGTGGGATGAAGTTGGCTTAATGTGAATTACTCAGACTGACCTGTGTATGTATATTTACAGAGACAACGTGCCCAACAGATTGTCCCCTGCACAGTGTCCCAGCTCATGTCTGCTGCCCAAGCAGAGGATGTCTTCAGAGTGGGAGAGGTAGAGGTTGCCCAGGTAACCCAAATTATATCTGTAAATATGAGGATGGTGGTCATTGTGTTGGTTTGTGGTGCATTGCGATATAGTGACTCATAAAGACTGATTAGGATTATAATCTTCCACGTACAAATGAAATGTGTAAGGAGTGCATTGGTATCCCATGACATTATTCTCTTTTTGTGTGCTAGGTTACCATTGTGGGCATCATCAGAACCACTGACAAATCCATGACCAACATCCAGTACAAAGTCGATGACATGACAGGGGCCCCTATGGACGTGAAGCAGTGGGTAGATACGGAGGTGAGTCTCATCAGGGCAACTAAGGCCGCTAAGTACTAGGATCAGCAAGGATATACAGTACAGTCAACACTTGCAGTATAATTTCCAAATAACATTCAATTAACAGATATTTTGTGACATCAGGCTACGCTCAAATAGGAGTCCAACTGCTAACTCTTCTCACCTATTCTTCTGTCCTGCTGTCTCTCCTCACTCCATAGGATCCCAGTGTGGACAGCACTGTCATCCCCCCAGGCACTTACGTCAAGGTCTCTGGCAATTTGCGTTCCTTCCAGGTGAGGTCATCATCCCCACAAAACGACATGCCTTAATCTATTGGTCATATCACAGCCTTGACCACATCATTCTACACATGGTTTTTAAAATATGTTTTCAAACAATGGAGAACTTCTATGTGTAACCTGAGATTTTATATGCATCTAGGGCAGAGTTGCCTCTGGCATTTTGATTCACAAATGTAAACTACACCCATGCCAGTGGCGGTCGGTGCCGTTTTAAGATTAGGGAGGAGGATTCATTTTTTTGAGTATGGCCTTATTTCTATTACAGAATATTGGATGACTTTAATTCATATTCCATTCACCCAGCTCAATGTATCATCGATAGGTTTAGGCTACTACATGATATGCAAATTTACCCTATACCCATCATGAGGTTGCTACAATCTAGCCTACAAATGAACGTTTATAACGTAGGTACACATTTACATTTTAGTCATTTAGCAGACGCTCTTATCCAGAGCGACTTACAGGAGCAATTAGGGTTAAGTGCCTTGCTCAAGGGCACATCGACAGTTTTTTCACCTAGACGGCTCGGGGATTAGAACCAGCGACTTTTCGGTTACTGGCACAACGCTCTTAACCACTAAGCTACCTGCCACCATATGAAATGAGTGGGGATACAGAGACGGGGATTCAAAGGCACTTAAATATTTTGTCTTGCCATTCAGAGGGTGAATGGGCAAGACAAAATATTTAAGTGCCTTTGAACAGGGTATGGTAGTAGGTGCCAGAAGCACCGGTTTGTGTCAAGAACTGAATTGAGGCTGTACTTAGGGCAAAAGTGGTGGTGCAACTCAATATTAAGGTGTTCTTCATGTTTTGTACACTCATTGTATAGCTAGCTCCCTCTCTCTCTGCTTCTGCTGCTTCTCCTTAATTTTTGAATAATTTTAATTTGTTCAAACTGTTCAACTATTTTCTTTCTCGATCTTTGAGTCAACTATTCATCACACTTAATGAACTGCAGTGCTAGCTAGCTGTAGCATATGGTTTCAGTACTAGATTTATTCTTTGCTCTTTTGATTAGATGTACAACATGTCAGTTTATGCTGCAAGAGCTTTGATAGGTTGGAGGATGTCCTCCGGAAGTTTTCATAATTACTTTGTAAGTCTATGGAAGGGTGTGAGAACCATGACCCTCCTAGGTTTTGTATTGAAGTCAATGTACCCAGAGGAGGACGGAAAATAGCTGTCCTCCGGCTACACCATGGTCCTACCCTAGAGTGTGCTGTTGAGGCTACTATAGCCCTTCATTGCAAAACAGTGTGTTTTAATCTGTTATTTGGTGATGTGAATATATTTAGTATAGTTTTATCTCAAATGGATAACTTTTTTAAATGTTTCACTGATTTTATTTTATTATTTTATTAAATTCACTGAGTGGGATGGTGCTCCCTTCTCTGAGGAGCCTCCACTGACCCATGCAAATGCTTTCAGGTCATCTGAAAGTGTGCATTGCCCATTCAGTCATGTGTCTCTCTCTCTCTCTGTGTCTGATGCACTGATTGTGGGTGTTTGTGTGTAACTTCCTGTCTTCAATAGAACCACAGGTCTGTGGTGGCGTTCAGCGTCCGGCCCCTAGAGGACATGAACGAGATTACCTCCCACATGCTGGAGGTGGTGCAGGCACACCTACTGCTCAGCAAACCACAGACTATTATGGTGAGAACCTCCTTCACACATGACAAAGAGCACCAGGGCCTAAAATTAACACCTGCCAAATGCGGGTAGATTTGAGTATTGGCGGGTAAGATGCCTATTTCACCAGCCACGTTGGTGGGTGGTCAGGGCTCCACACTGAGCATTTCACTCGCATTTGTTAATAAAAAGTCAAGTATGATCACATTTATAGCAAAATAAATGCTGCAGTAGCTGTTTTCAAAGTATTTCTGCCATTTTGTTTCATAGCTGGTAATCGCACAAAGTCAAAGAACTACGAATCCTATAGCCTATCCCACTTTGAGCTGCAACACTGTCTATCTAGGGGCTGTGTCCATGAAGAGCTTAGTGAAAGATTGTTTTTTTTTAAAGCGCTGTGCACAGGCATAAAAGTTGGTCTAATTTACTTGAATCGGAAGTCTGCTGCTGTGAGACTTTGTCCTTGTGTTTCTTGGCAATTTACATTGTTTTGTTCGCAAGCTAGGTTGTTTTTCAATGTTTGAGTTTCAACTGCTAGGGAAAAGAAGACAACACGGCTATTAGTCAGACTCTGAATCTCAGACACATGACTCTCAAGTTGCGTTACCACGGTAACCTCCCGCCCTTAAAGGGGCAGGTGAACATCTGTGATATTTTGGTTAACACTCGGGTCACAAAAAATGATATGAAATTAAACAATATACCACATTAGTTCTTACTAGTAATACATTTAATGTTTTTAGAAACATTACAAAGCATGCGCATGTAATTTTAGGGGGGTGAAATATTTTGGCTGGTAAAACAGTTAGTGTCTGGTAGATTTTTAAATCAAAAAGTACATTTTAGGCCCTGAAGAGCACCACTATGCCTGAATATTTGACTATTTCCCACCTGTCCGCTCTGTGACTACTGTTATACAAGTTGGCCTTGGCCCATCTGCCACGTATTTAAGTGGAGATGAAAGAATCATTAAACTTAGCTTTGAATAAGGCCATTCAACCTCAGTAATGCCACAATCAGCTGCTTGTGCTTTTTATGAATATAAGTATTGTTTTGAGTCTTTTCCTGCGTGGCACCACTCACACACAGTTTTGGTTCCCTTTTAAGATGGGCGGAGGAGGGGGAATGAACACTAGCATGGTGCCCATGTCACGGCCGGGAATGGGTGGCAACATAGGAGGTGGATACTCGGGTGCCAACGACATGTCCGCTAACGGCCTGAGCCCGAGCCAGAACCAGGTGAGTCTGCAATGGACTAAAGAAAAGCGCTGGTAACATTAAATACACTTTTTTCAGGACCCTGTCTTCCAAAGATAATTCGTAAAAATCCAAATAACTTCACAGATCTTCATTGTAAATGGTTTAAACACTGTTTCCCATGCTTGTTCAATGAACCATAAACAATTAATGAACATGCACCTGTGGAACGGTCGTTAAGACACTAACAGCTTACAGACGGTAGGCAATTAAGGTCACAGTTATGAAAACTTAGGACACTAAAGAGGCCTTTCTACTGACTCTGAAAAACACCAAAAGAAAGATGCCCAGGGTCCCTGCTCATCTGCTTGAACGTGCCTTAGGCATGCTGCAAGGAGGCCTGAGGACTGCAGATGTGGCCAGGGAAATAAATTGCAGTGTCCGTACTGTGAGACGCCTAAGACAGTGCTACAGGGAGACAGGACGGACAGCTGATCGTCCTCGCAGTGGCAGACCACGTGTAACAACATCTGCACAGGATCGGTACATCTGAACATCACACCTGTGGGACAGGTACAGGATGGCAACAACAACTGCCCGAGTTACACCAGGAACGCACAATCCCTCCATCAGTGCTCAGACTGTCCGCAATAGGCTGAGAGAGGCTGGACTGAGGGCTTGTAGGCCTGTTGGAAGGCAGGTCCTCACCAGACATCAACGGCAACAACGTCGACTATGGGCACAAACCCACCGTCGCTGGACCAGACAGGACTGGCAAAAAGTGCGCTTCAGTGGTAGAATAAACAATAAGTAGCCTAAACGCACCGACCATACCAATTAGAAAGTAAAACCGCACACCTTACCTGTTACCAGGTGAATGGAGAAAAAAGTGTACTTTTATTTAAAAAAAATCCTGCACACTGGTTGTCTACATGATATCAACATTAATTGGGTCTCATTCAATATCAGTTTGTCTTTTAATAAAAAAATCCTTACCAAACATACCATACTGCCATCTGTAGGACAAGAGTTGTTCTACATATGATTGGCACAATATTCTATATGAATGATTATGTTATGCTCATGTCCTCTCATAAGGTGCTGAGCTTGATAAGGAGCTGTCCAGACGCACAGGGTATCAGCATACAGGATTTGAAGCAGAGACTCAGCGGCATGAGCTTGGCTGTCATCAAGTAAGACATTCCCTTCCCTTCGTCCTCAAATCAGGCTCTGAAGTTCTTGATATGCTTGAATGTGTTCTGTTTGACCACAACAGTGGTTGTGTTCTGCAGGGCACAACGTTGGCCAGCATTCAGATACAAATATTTTATAGAACAAACATACATTTCTGGGATGTAGAATAAGTAATATTGGCTCTATTCATTGCATTTCTTTCTGCAACGTTCAACATTTGCCTACTGAACGTGACCCAGTGCACTCTCATGTGCAAGGCATAACAGAGTAGACTGCATAATTAAGCATGCTGCAATGGCACCATTCTCACTGTCCTTTGTCTAATCATAGGCAAGCAGTGGAGTTCCTCAGCAACGAAGGACACATCTTCTCCACCATTGACGAGGATCACTTCAAGTCTACGGACAATGACGACTAAAGCATCTCTCCATTCCCTGTTAGCACTAAGAATAAGACAATAGAACCTGTAGTCATTCATGGAACAGTGACTCATAATGAGGAACATCAAGGGATGTGTCTATATAATCCTGAGGGTTTCTGTGAAATGAGACCTTGGTTTGACTGACATGGTTGCCAGTGTTCACACATCCTGTTTCAACTTCTGTTAATGATACTACAGTAAGAGTGGGTGCATCACAGTCAAATGGCTTTTCTCACAGTGAATGCAATCTAAGAGTGACTGACCTGTTCTCTGAATCATCGGTCTTGGTAGTTTGTCATAAAAAAAAATGGTGAACAGAATGCAGAACTTTGCTATTCTATTCAGATATTCTGTCTGTATGTTTTGTTTTTGTCTCTAGTAAACATATATTTTCAGAAAAATGTTCTCCAGATATTACTATTTGATATTGTCAATTTGGGAAGTATCTCTCTTGCAATGCGTGAAACCTTAGAATGTAGGAGTATAATATCATACAGTATTGATACCCAAAGCAATGATACATATGCACCAGTAAAGCTTTGTGTTGAGAATGAAGATCCCCACTGTTATCACTCTGGCTATCATAAGGTGAATGCACCAATTTGTAAGTCGCTCTGGATAAGAGCATCTGCTAAATGACGTAAATGTCACTGACACTGCCAGACTAGCATCATTGAGTTTTAAAATAGGGAGAAAAAGTTAGTTACAAAATACACTGCTAAATTATGAAATATAACTGGACCTTAAACACCAATGGGCTTTTATTATGATACGCATTTGGGATAATCGATTGGCAAGTGTTGCTTGTGACTGCAGCAACATGTAGAGAAAATGAAAACCAAGTAACAAAATGCGGGTCCAATAAGACGTGCCCTGTTTTTGCACAGTCCCATCTCAAAAGTATTCACATTTACAGTGGCTGGCTATCAGTCTGCATAGTTCTGACATTCAGTTGTCTTGCACCCCATAGTCTAGTCTATTTTATGCAACGAGACTAGGCTACTTGAAAAGTTAACCTTTAAATAGTTATTCCTGTTGTGGTGGCTAGTTCAGTAAAATAAAACACTGTCCTGTGCTCTTTTCAACATGTCGTCCACTTGCTCATAATCATGTTCGCTGTCCGTGTCTGCTTGCACTTCATATATCGCCGCTGCTGAAAGACAAGTTAATTTTAGGCTGACCATACAATTTAGGTTTTGTGTAGAATGGTCATCTAGTGAAAAAACGTTTACCTAAACAAAGAATAAAACTACAGATAACAGTCAAATGTTCTATAAAAAGGTACAATAGTATGAAAATGTATGCACTCTGTAAGTCGCTCTGGATAAGAGCGTCTGCTAAATGATGATGAATGAGGTACCTTTTGACTTTGACTTCCCTGATGTCATAGCTCACAAGCCATTTACTATGTAGGACATACTGTACCTTTATTGTTGGGCTTGTGACCTATAGACTTGACGTAAGTGTTTGGCTGAGCCTTGCCTGATTTGACTCCGGTCATAGGCTTTCTTGGATTCAGGGGAGGGGCATCATCCGTGATAGCCTTCACGACAACAGGAAAATGAAACTACTGTTATTCTAGGAAGTGTACATGCTATGTTGATAAAACAGGAACTACATTTGCATGAGGTGTCTGCATCAGCAAATAACATTTTCACATGTGAAGTGATGAGACAATATAGTAACAGAGATACAGTGGGGAGAACAAGTATTTGATACACTGCCGATTTTGCAGGTTTTCTTACTTACAAAGCATGTAGAGGTCTGTAATTGTTATCATAGGTACACTTCAACTGTGAGAGACGGAATCTAAAACAAAAATCCAGAAAATCACATTGTATGATTTTTAAGTAATTAATTTGCAAATTAATTACTTAAAAATCATACAATGTGATTTTCTGGATTTTTGTTTTAGATTCCGTCTCTCACAGTTGAAGTGTACCTATGATAGAAATTACAGACCTCTACATGCTTTGTATGTAGGAAAACCTGCAAAATCGGCAGTGTATCAAATGCAAGGCAAAGTAGCAAGGGGGATGCAAGGCAAAGTAACATAGCAATGCATGGACAGTAAACTTTAGGAAGTCCAGCAAGGCAGGAGTGACAACAGGAGACGAGCGGTGCTATATCCTGCCTAGAAAATACGTACGGTCTGAAAGAAAGAGCTTACCGGAGGCAGAGGAGCAGGGGGCCTTTGAGTCTTTTTGCTATGAAGACTTAGATCACTCAACAGGGAAAGGGTGCCGCTTTTGGGTGGAGGGCAGGGGGCGTATGGTTGTGAGGGTGAAGGGGTTGCCTTGGAAGGCTTTGATCTTGATGACGGCTTTGGTGGACGTGGTGGTGGGGGCTCATCTGATGTGGTGAGCTTTCTAAATTCGTAATAGAATGAGTCCGTCACCTCTGTAACTGTCTCCAGGTGATATTCTTGGGCCAAAGGCAAGGGGTCGTTAGTAAAGGACAAAGACATGTTAAGCCAGTGAGTGGGTATCTCAAAGCACCTCTCTGGCTTTCCTGGAAGGCTGGCCTGTACCATGGGCTGTATAGTAGACTCCTCCAGCCTCAGGGATGAGAACCCCACCAGAGGATCTGTCTCCAGCTCTGCGTCACGGCTCACCACCTTAACGTCCAACGGCAGAGCGAAGCCCTTGCCCAAGTCCTTCAGGCTGTACTTCTTATTGTCCGTGAGCTTCTCCACAAAGTGGCCCTGCATATACATGGGCAAGTGGACCTCCTCGCTCTCCTCCTCCTCCTCTTCATCCTCCTCCTCATCATCGTCCACTTCTTGGAGACGTCTACATACAACGACCTCCACAGTCTGGTTCTTCTCCCCCTGGCTGGTTCTTCCACCAGGCAGCTTCACCTTCTCGCAGCGCAGCACCTCCAGCTGCTCGCCCACACTGAGCGCCGGAAGCCCCTCCTCCTCCAGCTCCTCACTGTGCCGCGTCACCCTGACCGTGAGAAACGGAGCCCGGGTTGAGGCGGTGTACAGCTCGTACACCGAGTCAAACTCCCGTGGCCTCCGTCGCAGCCGCCCCCCGTAGCGCTGAGACACTAGGAAGTACTGGCGGGCCTTGCGCCCCTTGAGACCCGAAACCAGAACCATGGCTGAGGAACCACGCTTGTGAAGGACGAGAGGATGGCCCTTGTGTAGTTCAGCCAGCCAGGTACAGTGGAACAGAGGCTGGCCCTCATGGTGCTCCAGTATTTCAGCCATGGTGGGGAAGGCCTCATCTGGCTGGGCAAAGACCTCGGGCAGAGTGAGCGGGGTCACAAATGTCAAGTCTTGGGATTGCGTCGTCACGTCGACCACATCCACCTCCAAGCTGGAGGGGAACTTGACTATGTTCTTCCTCACTGTGAGAAAATTAGAGAAGTTATGTTGAAAGGGTGAAGACCCACACAGTAAAGTACTAAGCTTGATGTTGAGCAGAACAGAAAAACTAAGCTGTACAGTGGGGGAAAAAAGTATTTAGTCAGCCACCAATTGTGCAAGTTCTCCCACTTAAAAAGATGAGAGAGGCCTGTAATTTTCATCATAGGTACACGTCAACTATGACAGACAAAATGAGAAAAGAAAATCCAGAAAATCACATTGTAGGATTTTTAATGAATTTATTTGCAAATTATGGTGGAAAATAAGTATTTGGTCAATAACAAAAGTTTCTCAATACTTTGTTATATACCCTTTATTGGCAATGACACAGGTATAACGTTTTCTGTAATCTTCACAAGGTTTTCACACACTGTTGCTGGTATTTTGGCCCATTCCTCCATGCAGATCTCCTCTAGAGCAGTGATGTTTTGGGGCTGTCGCTGGGCAACACGGACTTTCAACTCCCTCCAAAGATTTTCTATGGGGTTGAGATCTGGAGACTGGCTAGGCCACTCCAGGACCTTGAAATGCTTCTTACGAAGCCACTCTTTCGTTGCCCGGGCGGTGTGTTTGGGATCATTGTCATGCTGAAAGACCCAGCCACGTTTCATCTTCAATGCCCTTGCTGATGGAAGGAGGTTTTCACTCAAAATCTTACGATACATGGCCCCATTCATTCTTTCCTTTACACGGATCAGTCGTCCTGGTCCCTTTGCAGAAAAACAGCCCCAAAGCATGATGTTTCCACCCCCATGCTTCACAGTAGGTATGGTGTTCTTTGGATGCAACTCAGCATTCTTTGTCCTCCAAACACGACGAGTTGAGTTTTTACCAAAAAGTTATATTTTGGTTTCATCTGACCATATGACATTCTCCCAATCCTCTTCTGGATCATCCAAATGCACTCTAGCAAACTTCAGACGGGCCTGGACATGTACTGGCTTAAGCAGGGGGACACGTCTGGCACTGCAGGATTTGAGTCCCTGGCGGCGTAGTGTGTTACTGATGGTAGGCTTTGTTACTTTGGTCCCAGCTCTCTGCAGGTCATTCACTAGGTCCCCCCGTGTGGTTCTGGGATTTTTGCTCACCGTTCTTGTGATCATTTTGACCCCACGGGGTGAGATCTTGCGTGGAGCCCCAGATCGAGGGAGATTATCAGTGGTCTTGTATGTCTTCCATTTCCTAATAATTGCTCCCACAGTTGATTTCTTCAAACCAAGCTGCTTACCTATTGCAGATTCAGTCTTCCCAGCCTGGTGCAGGTCTACAATTTTGTTTCTGGTGTCCTTTGACAGCTCTTTGGTCTTGGCCATAGTGGAGTTTGGAGTGTGACTGTGGACAGGTGGACAGGTGTCTTTTATACTGATAACAAGTTCAAACAGGTGCCATTAATAAAGGTAACGAGTGGAGGACAGAGGAGCCTCTTAAAGAAGAAGTTACAGGTCTGTGAGAGCCAGAAATCTTGCTTGTTTGTAGGTGACCAAATACTTATTTTCCACCATAATTTGCAAATAAATTCATAAAAAATCCTACAATGTGATTTTCTGGATTATTTTTTCTCAATTTGTCTGTCATAGTTGACGTGTACCTATGATGAAAATTACAGGCCTCTCTCATCTTTTTAAGTGGGAGAACTTGCACAATTGGTGGCTGACTAAATACTTTTTTTCCCCACTGTATGTTCAAAATGTACAATCTTGTAGTGTAATGATTTGTGAAAAAGAAATGCAGGCCAATAGCTTTGATGATGTGCTCCTCTGGCAACACTTCTCTCACGTCCATATTCTAACATGATATCTCAGTGTTTTTTCATTGGCTAAGGAAGTATGCCATTGGTTGACTCAGAACCAGGTTCTACTCACAGTGCATGATGGCCTGAACCTGGTATATGGGGCTGAAGACTAGCGATCCCCCGTGCTTGGTCTTCTTGCTGAAGCAAAAGTGCCGGCTACAGAGGTGGGGTGAGGACATGATCTCCTGGAGGGTGTAGGTCTGGTCACTCTCACACTTATAGAACTCCCCACGGCAGGAGAAGGGGACTAGCACTTCAGCCGTCGCCCCCTGCTGGCCTCGGAGTTGACAGCGGACACGGCTCTCCTCACCCCCGTCCTGTTGCTCGATGGACAGCATGGTCACGGCCCTCCCGGCCCCGAGGGTGAAATTCTCAAAGGTCAGCTCACATCGGCTGGTGAAGGTGAAGGGAAGACAGGTGTCCAGGCCTACAGGCCTCAGGCTCACCATCTCCTCTACTGTGCTGTATGGCATCTCCTCTGGAACCAGCTTGAACAGATCTGAGAAGGAGAGTCCGCAATGAGGCCATGAATAACACAGCATTGATTAAGGGACTTTATTAGAATTGGTTAAAGATATTACCATGGTTAATAAAGAATTGGGGGCTCACATACATAGAATTACTAGAACTGCCATTCTTGGTCCAGTCAATGATCTGTGCTAGGTGGACCGGAGGCATTTCTTTTTCTATTTCTAGCCCTGGCTAAGTGCATTTGTTGAAAACCATAAGCCTCACCTGCATGGTTGAGGGGCAGCTCAAAATGCTCATTGTTGCTGATGTCCTCACAGCTGACAGAAAGGAGCTCGATGTTGATGACCTTCACCAGGTCCCCCGTGGACAGGCACACCTCGCTTCCCGACAGCTCATAAACAGACCCTATAAAGCATCAACACACCACAATTTCAGCTCTGATGACACTGCAATATTTGCAGCAACATGCACATACTGTACTTGTTGATTGTATTTTTTTTTTTAATCAGAGGTAATTACTCAATAATAATGTCACATTACAAAGCATGCCTGAACTGATGGAAATATATATTTTATATACAGTACACAGTATTAACTTCTCTGATCCAGGAACATCACTCATGAGACTTTCCCCATTTCCTTATTTGGCATTAAATTGCCTTTTCTTGTGGGGTGCAGGTAATTTATTTGATATATTGTCTCAATATTATCCTGGTTGTAGTCAGCAGTATGCGTCAACAATTCAAGGTAGTCTATTGACTGACCATCCATCCATATAACCAAGCATATTATTATCTATAAACCTTTGAACATGTGATATTACATACACTCCTCTATGTATTTATTTGGACAGTGAAGCAAAAACATTTCATTTGGCTCTATACTCCAGCATTTTGGATTTGAGATCAAATGTTTCATGAGGTGACAGTACAGAATGTCACCTTTTATTTGAGGTTATTTTCATACATATCTGTTTGACTGTTTAGAAATGAAAGCACTTTATATATCTAGTCCTCCCATTTCAAGGTGTCATAAGTATTTGGACAAATTCACTTATATGTGTATTAAAGTAGTCAATTTTTTTAAAATGTTGCTCACATATTCCTAGCTTGTGACTACAAACTTGTTGGATGCATTTGCCGTTTGTTTTGGTTGTGTTTCGGATTATGTTGTGTCCAATAGAAGTCAAATCAAAGTTTATTGGTCGCCTACACAGTTTTGCATATGTTATTGCAGGTGCAGCGAAATGCTTATGTTTCTAGCTCCAACAGTGCAGCAATATCTAGCAATACAATAACAATATGCACATAATCCAAAAGTTGTAAAAAAAAATAACAAGGAATGAAGACATCAAAACAAGCAATTTCAGAGTCCGGAATATAAATACAGTGAGGGAAAAAAGTATTTGATCCCCTGCTGATTTTGTACGTTTGCCCACTGACAAAGAAATGATCAGTCTATAATTTTAATGGTAGGTTTATTTGAACAGTGAGAGACAGAATAACAACAAAAAAATCCAGGAAAACGCATGTCAAAAATGTTATAAATTGATTTGCATTTTAATGAGGGAAATAAGTATTTGACCCCCTCTCATCATTCCAACGAGGTGAATTCCCCTCCCAGTGGAAAGAAGCCACGGTCGTGCTTATCCCCAAGACCCACCCCCCGACAGCCAACCAGCTACGGCCTATATCCCTGACACCACAACTATCAAAGTGTCTAATAGTGTGAAGATTCTAGGGTTAATGGTACAGAAGGATTTACAATGGGATGAGCAGGTTGTTACAGTATTTTTCAATCGCTTTGGTGCAATTTTCACAAATATGTGGTACATTTTCACAACGCTTAGAACAAAACTCAAAACAGACTATCAAAAAGGCAGTTGTTTCAAAACTCTAAGAACAGCTCCAAATGACTGATTACAACACACAAAATCATACAGTCACTTTTTCACTAAAATACAATCAGTGTTTCATTTAGAAATACATGTTTCACATTGCAATACATGTTCGTATAAAGTACTTGCCTTTCACAATGCAATACTCACATTACTTTTGATATGATAGTCTTCTCATTTGTTAAAATACCTTTCACTATTACTTAATCCAACTGCTTTTAATAGATAATCACTTATCCTTTTGGTAAACCTATAGATTTTAAACTGGTTTGTCTACTATATACAGATTTCGATAACTACAGAATTAAAATATATGTTTGTAAAATATAAACATATAAAGTATGATATACACTGAGCGTACAAAACATTAAGGACACCTGCTCTTTACATGACATAGACTGACCAGGTGAATCCAAGTAAAAGCTGTGATCCCTTATTGATGTCACTTGTTAAATCCACTTCAGTCAGTGTAGGTGTAGGGGAGGAGACAGGTTAAACAATGATTTTTAAGCCTTGAGACAATTGAGACATGGATTGTGTATGTGTGCCATTCAGAGGGTGAATGGGCAAGACAAAATATTTAAGTGCCTTTGAACGGGGTATGGTAGTAGGTGCCAGGCACACCGGTTTGTGACAAGAACTGCAATGCTGCTGGGTTTTTCATGCTCAACAGTTTCCCGTGTTTATCAAGAATGGTCAGAGGACAGACGCTACACGCTTCAGCACTGGGTGGTCCCGTTCTGTGAGCTTGTGTGGCCTACCACTTCGCAGCTGAGCTGTTGTTTCTCCTAGACGTTTCCACTTCACAGTGACAGCACTTACAGTTGACCGGGGCAGCTCTAGCAGGGCAGAAATTTGACTAACTGACTTGTTGGAAAGGTGGCATCCGATGACGGTGCCACGTTGAATGTCACGGAGCTCTTCAGTTAGGCCATTCTTCTGCCAAAGTTTGTCTATGGAGATTGCATGGCTGTGTGCTCAATTTTATACACCTGTTAGCAACGGGTGTGGCTGAAATAGCCGAATCCACTAATTTGAAGGGGTGTCCACATACATTTGTATACATAGTTTATCTTGCATTTTTTGCTATTGTATCAACTGGTTGTTAAAACTACTAAATTGAGAATATATCATTATGTTGTATTTTGGTGATTAAACCAATGTTTTCATTATATTTCACAGTAAACGTATATTTTGGATGAATGGTTGTGTGGTGAAAGATGTTTCCAAACAAAATGAATGCACAATGAAAGGTTTTGAATGTAAGACTGGCTGCGTTACAAATGTTACCAGTTTGGAGTTTTGTACTAAGAGTTTTGAAAATTCACCACATACTTGTGAAAATAGCAACAAAGCGATTGAAAATAACTGTAAAAACTCAATGTTTTATTTTAGCAAAGTTGGAAGATGTGTTTGGAAGAAGGCCATTGTAGGCCAAAATGTTATCTTTTAACTTTGCTAAAATAAAACATTGCATTTTTAATGGTGAGCGAGCGTTGCACCTTTTCCTTTCTACGATGATCATTTTTTGGTTGCACCTCAACTCACGTTGGTTAAGCGTTCTCCACTTCTTTTCACATCAGTCTAGATTTATGTCAAGCTTGGATTCGCAATACCTAAAGGTGTTTCCACAGGTACATGAACAATGAGGGCATTTACTGCAATGTTGATGAGAACCTATGGCCAAATGCTCAAGACAAGCTTGATGCAAATGAGTGCCTGCTAAACGTTATTGTTAATTCATTTATTTAATTGGTTTCATTTGATTACAGTACACCTATGTGGTAATTATATCTGAACAATACATTTACTTTTTGCATCAATGATTATTACTGTAAAATATGTCTTATGATCACACATGGTATAGAAATGATGGAAATAATGGAGCTGGGGAGTGTAATAGCTATACTAATTATGAGACTTTTGTTCTATTTCTGTTTGTATATGTCAGAATTGACTATAGAAAACTGCCACTGACTGTTAATCAGGAGTTCATGGAGTTCATGAAAGAAAGTATGAAAAAGTCCTACCTTGAAAGTATACCCCAGAGCAAACCTGTAGAATCCGTGGCAGACAAGTTTGATCCAAGGATGCAATTAATTCTTGCAGGGACATAACTGTTTCAGTGCCTGCCATCACTGCAGTGCTGATCCGATGTTGTGCTGTCAAGGCTCAACTGTGGTTCTAAGAGAGGTGCCACTGATCTAACAGTCGAAAGCAACAATTTTATGAGGAAGTTGGCAACCGGATATTTTCAAGTAAAGTTAACCCCTGTGCTGTGATACTAGCTTGTGACGTCAATAAAGATATGTGAACCTGGCTTTTACTTCTTTATTGTTTGCTTATTTTATGCAGCCATGAACATTTTATTATTTGCCTACAATCAAAAAAGAACGCTTACAACTCACCATGTTTCCTATGGAAAAGTGATGGTTCCTAGCAGTACAGTATTACATTTTAGTCATTTAGCAGACGCTCTTATCCAGAGCGACTTACAGTTAGTGAGTGCATAATTTTTAAAAAATCACACTGGCCCCCCGTGGGAATCGAACCCACAACCCTGCCGTTGCAAGCGCCATGCTCTACCAACTGAGCTACACGGGGCTACATTGTGGATTTTTTTATACTATTCATGTTGTTTGCTGTATGTGAATATATTTTTGATAGATTTCTCACTATCAGCTGTAAAGCAAACTGCCCCTCAGGAATAATAAACATTCTCTAATCTACTCCATAGCAGTCCAAAGGTCAAATTAAAATACATTCTGCAAAAGTGTATTTTGATGATACTCTATCAATGTAAAATTAGATATGGTCGGTGATAAATAGGAAGCTACATGAACATGCACCAAATTGAAATGTGACACTGCAACTTCCTACAATTTGCGGTCTATGAATGGAATATGAAACAAGGAGGATGTTGCTCTAGTAGTCTATGTTCTTCTGTCCAGTGGATTTTCAATAAAAAACAGTCCATTTGACTGTTCTAACTGCTATTCAATCTGATTTGCAACTGCTCGGCCTCCGACCGCAAGGCACTACAGACGGTAGTGCGTACGGCCCAGTACATCACTGGGGCCAAGCTTCCTGCCATCCAGGACCTCTATACCAGGCGGTGTCAGAGGAAGGCCCTAAAAATTGTCAAAGACTCAAGCCACCGAAGTCATAGACTGTTCTCTCTGCTACCGCACGGCAAGCGGTACCGGAGCGCCAAGTCTAGGTCCAAAAGGCTTCTCAACAACTTCGACCCCCAAGCCATAAGACTCCTGAACAGCTAATCATGGCTACCCGGACTATTTGCACTGCCCCCCCCCACCCCACCCCATCGCCCTCTTTTATGCTGCTGCTACTCCGTTTACTATTTATGCATAGTCACTTTAACTCTACCCACATGTACATATGACCACAATTACCTCGACTAGCCGGTGCCACCGCACATTGACTCTGTCCCGGTACCCCCCTGTATATAGCCTCCCTACTGTTATTTTATTTTACTGCTGCTCTTTAGTTATTTGCTTTAATTTTAAATTTTTCTTTAATTAACACTTTTTTTTATTTAACTTTTTTTTCAAACTGCATTGTTGGTTAAGGGCTTGTAAGTAAGCATTTCACTGTAATGTCTACACCTGTTGTATTCGGCGCATGTGGCAAATAAATTTTTATTTTATTTGGTTTGAAGTGAATGAGCGATAATGAAAGCTAGGCATAATAACTGTATGCTTTAGTGCGTGTGTGTGTGTGTGTTCACTGTTTTTTTCTAGAGTCGAATCAAATCATTGTAGATAATGGAATGTATTACTTTATTTTCATCCATTTGTGCAGAGGCAGAGAGATTTGGCTGTCAAGGGGTAAACCCCACAAAACTACAAGTCCCAAAACAAGGGAGCATTTTACCCAGCATTCAATGGGATTGTGAATGGAGAATGCTGCAAGATGGCGACTAATGCAACTGCTACAAACTTACCATCTTTTGATTGTCCAACATGGTGAGAAAATGCATTTACCGGGATATTTAGGTTGTACAAGACGCCAAGTGCATGCAAAATAACAAAACATTATTAAATTTTTTATTTTGTAGCTAGAAACGTATGTATTTTAGCCACGTCTTGTTAGCTAACATGCTAGCTAGCTGATACATTTCACTGACTGGTGTGCTTAGCTTTTGGTCCTTGTTGTTTTCAGGGCAGGCAAGCCCCCTCCAGGACTCCATTTGGACGTGATGAAAGGTGACAAAATGGTCGAGGTAAGAGCTTGGGGCTTCTGGGACGAAAATTTGAACTGCCTATCTGTATTAGCAGCACTTTAAAAAGGCTAGATGATTTGTATGGTTGCTTAGAATATGGGTAATATCTTGATAATAGATCTGCCATTACAGAACTGACTGGTTTACTTACTTTCTGTACTAACTGTACCAGCTCTATCAAAAGCTATGCTAGATAACCATATGATGTGGTCCTACGTGATGTAGTTTACCTATAGATGTCTATAGTCTAGACTGTCTACTTTAATATAGTAAACACAATATACAATATAGTCTACTTCAGTCTTTATACTTCAATATAGGTAGCTAGGTGTCATTGTGTACTTAACTAAATAAACAAATCGATTATGCATGCATGCACTAGATACGGACCTGACTGCTCAGCCCAGTGCACAGTGGTGTCTGAGTTCCCTGACTGTTGGGTTTTAAGAAAGGTGCCACAGAAACATCAGCCCTGATATTTAAGCTCATGAGTGTGAAGGTGCACTCTTGAGTTATGGCTCAGAGGCACAGTGCTTTAAACTGTTTCTTACAGCTGGCAAGGTTTTCATTCAATGTTATCAGTGTTAGCTTGGTGTCTGTTTCTGATCTCTAGCCAACTCCTTATGGAATTGTCATGCTAAAACAGCTTGGCATGAGAATGAGTGATGAGGAGTTGGCAAGAGAGCAGAATTAGATCCGGGACCAGGCTATGGCGTTGTGACATGAGAAAATACACTTATTGCCCTATCTGTTGTTATGATGGTGAATCCTTGTAGAAACTGATCATCGACGAGAAGAAGTACTACTTATTCGGGAGGAATCCGGACATGTGTGACTTCACCATCGACCACCAGTCATGTTCACGCGTGCATGCTGCCCTGGTCTACCACAAGCATCTGAAGAGGGTGTTCCTTATTGACAACAACAGCAGTAAGTGAATTGTCTTACTGCAGCTAGTAAAAAGTACTCAAAATGTAACAGTTGCATCGCCTTAGAGGAGTGCACTGTACAATAAAGGCCGTGCAACTATAACGTTTTGTTGACTCTTTACTTCACTTACTTTTTATAAATGACATCCGTACATGGTATGTGGACTTGAAGGTTGTACATTACATCCTCAGCGCATGGTACCTTCCTGGGACACATCCGCCTGGAGCCCCACAAGCCTCAGCAGGTCCCCATAGACTCCACCATGTCGTTTGGGGCATCCACACGAGCCTACACCATCCGGGAGAAACCTCAGAGCCAGCAAGGAACCAATGCCGCCACGGGGGACAGCAAGGCCGGGGAGGATGAGGAGGGGTCTAAGGGTCTTTTAGGATTACCAGAGGAGGAGACCGAGCTAGAGGTGTGTGTCTGTGTGTCTTCAGTAGTTGGGCATTTGTCTGGACATGCTGGTAAGGAGGGTGTGTACTATTACCACAGTAGCTATAGATACTCTATGTGAAGCAGGACATACTCCGTTATCTTTTGTTCTGTCAGTGTCTTTGGTATTTTTTAGCTGTAGCTTTTTCCAATTTCGTGTATTTAGACTAGGCTATTCCTCTTAAGACCACGAGTGTATTAACTTTGTTTCACTTCTCCTTTCCCAACCATTCATCCATCCCCTCTCTGGGCTGTGACAGAACCTGACAGAGTTCAACACGGCCCACAACAAGCGCATCTCCACCCTGACCATCGAGGAGGGCAACCTAGAGATCCAGAGACCCAAGAGGAAGAGGCGGAACTCCCGAGTCACCTTTAACGAGGACGATGAGGTCATCAACCCAGGTAAGCTCTCTCTTCAACCCCATTGGCCTAGCACCCCAGTACCTAGTGCTGTTGAAGTATTGGTTCTTTATCTGTAGTTGAGGAAAAAGTGTTTCTGTGCCTGTCTTCATATTTCACAAAGTGTCTAAGAGACAGTTTTCTATTTTATGATTTAAAATAAAAAACGGATCCCAGATTAACACTCTTACTCTGAGATTCTTTGTGAACATGGGCCCTGATTTAAGTAATTACATAAACTGAGGTTGGCACACGTCCTTATTTTCACCCAATCTAAACCTGTTGCTTCACTCATATAATGCATGCGGTAACTCAGTGCTTCTTGAAACATTACAGAGGACATTGACCCCTCAGTTGGGCGCTTCAGGAACATGGTGCAGACTGCTGTCGTCCCTATAAAGGTAAGCCTGGGTTATATCCATAGTTACATGCTGACCACACCGCTCGCGTGCGTATGTTGATTTTGTCCACCCACACCAGACGCGTAATGTGTAAATGTATTTTGCAACGCTCGCGTGGGCAGTGTGGTCAGCATGTAAGCCATCTATTGCATGAAATGTGACACTGCAACTTTCTACAATTTGCAGTCTAGATTGTCGAGATCGTTTTGTACAATCACGCTGCGATTTAAGGAAGCCTATATTTAAGAAAATTGCAATGATATCCCAGAAACATACACTATACATAGCCTACAGATGAGTTGCTAATCAGTCTTTTGTCATTTCCACTCTAGAAACAGAAAATGGAGAGGCACGGCTCACTTAGTATGGACGATGTTGTGACAAGGCGCATCCACAACTACACCTTCGGCGGCGGCCTTTACGGGGACCTGCCACCCACCAGCCACGAGGGCCACCCTGCCGGGACCCCGAGCGGCGCCACTATCCTGGGGGGTCTCCCGCTGCCCTTCCCCAACCCGGCCCCAGAGGTGAACCTAGCCCCTGACGCCCCCCAGCCACCTGTCACCCTCAACCCTGTCCCCATCTCAGGCCCCTATCCTTCCGAGGCCCTCAATGAGCCCCGCAAGAAAAAGTACGCCAAAGAGGCATGGCCAGGCAAGAAGCCCACCCCCTCCCTACTAATCTAACCTTCTCCCTACACTATGGCTCTTTCTCAATTCGTCTTTCGTCTATTCCTTGCATCATCTCTCATGCATTGGAGAATATCGAAGATCTCTCCTCTTGGACCTTCTCCAATGTATTTTAAGTCTGAGGCGAGGAGAGAGGACACAAGGAATCCAGGAAAGACGAATTGGGAAAGAGCCAATGTGGTGTAGGCTGGGCTGACTCTCAGGGTATGGGCGGAGACATCAGGGACCATGACCCGTTGGAGGCGGATCGATTTTACTTTTAAGACTGTTTTGGGATTTTATAGTTTTGTCAATGTTTTCTACGTTACTTCTTCATTCTCCTAAAGATTATCCGAAAGACTTCAGTAGCACATTCCATGAAGACAGAAACACCACTCCTTCGGGAGCTGAATGTTTGATACGTTTTACAAATGAAGTCATATAAAAAAAGACAGTTCTTGGCAGACCAAGTCAGTTGGTCAGGTAAGAGTAACTTGTGGCATAAATCGGTGTCCCATGGCCGTGATATATTACCTCTAATTGATAGTCGGGCATCGTGCAGGGAAGCAAACACGAAGCGGATGTAACTTAGGAAAACAGCCCTAATGTTGGAAACAAACATCGTTGTCATCCAGATTCACATGTATTTATTTTCCAAGCTGCAGCGCACAATATTACAGCAGGTTTTTAAAGGACCTGGTTCGTGTTATCATTTTTGCCATGGGAAAAATATTACGATACTGGTATCATCACAGCCTAATTGTTATATGGTTGGTCACTGTGAGTTCCATATTACTATCTCCACTTCCTTCTAGAAGGTCTCGATGTTTGTTTGAAGTCAATCTTTGGACGTAGTATTTTTGCTCAATGTAAACATGCATATACATTTCTTTTTGAATATCTATTTGTTAAACTTGAAATGTGAAAAAAACTGTTTTATACAAGATGGATTATTATAGGAATTGACAAAAGATATGTCCATTTTTCTAAAGACGGAATAGGACTATAGGTTTATATTTTTACAGTGCTATCAAGATGAGTGCCGCGAGGAGGAGAGACTTTAATGTTTAATCAGTTTACATTCACAATCAAGCTCAGTAATTAAAAAACAGTTAATAGACTGCGCAGAGTATTTTTAAATACTGTTAGCCCATTATCAAAAAGGTACCAGTATGACCTGTGAGTTGCAACTCTGCCTGAATGTTAGTGAGTCCTGTAGTCCTCTAGATGGCAATATGTACAATGTAAATTGGCCTGATCTGAGTCACTGATAAAATGTATTGGTCACATGAGTTAAGACTAAGGTTCTCAGTTGGTGCAATTTGATGTTGATTGAGTATTGTTTTACAGGCCTTTTGAAATGATTCAATTTCATTTATGGTACACAACATGGTCTTGCATCAAAGCACCCATAAAATGACTCAATTGAGCTTCTTGATGTTCATAGAACTGCATTAGTTTTCACACCAGGATAATTAATTCTTAGGTTGCCCCCTTTACTGGTTAATGAAACATTTATGTGATATTTGAGTGAACTTGCAAAAGCCATGCTATTTGTATCAACTTTGTACTGATCGACAGACCAATCAATCAATCAATTTTATTTTATATAGCCCTTCTTACATCAGCTAATATCTCGAAGTGCTGTACAGAAACCCAGCCTAAAACCCCAAACAGCTAGTAATGCAGGTGTAGAAGCACGGTGGCTAGGAAAAACTCCCTAGAAAGGCGAAAACCTAGGAAGAAACCTAGAGAGGAACCAGGCTATGAGGGGTGGCCAGTCCTCTTCTGGCTGTGCCGGGTGAAGATTATAACAGAACCATGCCAAGATGTTCAAAAATGTTCATAAGTGACAAGCATGGTCAAATAATAATCAGGAATAAATCTCAGTTGGCTTTTCATAGCCGATCATTAAGAGTTGAAAACAGCAGGTCTGGGACAGGTAGGGGTTCCATAACCGCAGGCAGAACAGTTGAAACTGGAATAGCAGCAAGGCCAGGCGGACTGGGGACAGCAAGGAGTCACCACGGCCGGTAGTCCCGACGTATGGTCCTAGGGCTCAGGTCTCTCAGTTGGCTTTTCATAGCCGATCATTAAGAGTTGAAAACAGCAGGTCTGGGACAGGTAGGGGTTTCGTAACCGCAGGCAGAACAGTTGAAACTGGAATAGCAGCAAGGCCAGGCGGACTGGGGACAGCAAGGTGTCATCATGCCCGGTAGTCCTGACGTATGGTCCTAGGGCTCAGGTTCTCAGAGAGAAAGAGAGAACGAGAGAATTAGAGAGAGCATACTTAAATTCACACAGGACACTGGATAAGACAGGAGAAGTACTCCAGGTATAACCAACTAACCCCAGCCCCCCGACACATAAACTACTGCAGCATAAATACTGGAGGCTGAGACAGGAGCGGTCCGGAGACACTGTGGCCCCATCCGAAGAAACCCCCGGACAGGGCCAAACAGGAAGGATATAACCCCACCCACTCTGCCAAAGCACAGCCCCCGCACCACTAGAGGGATATCCTCAACCACCAACTTACAATCCTGAGACAAGGCCGAGTATAGCCCACAGAGGTCTCCACCACAGCACAAACCAAGGGGGGGGGCGCCAACCCAGACAGGAAGATCACGTCAGTAACTCAACCCACTCAAGTGACGCACCCCTCCCAGGGACGGCATGAAAGAGCACCAGCAAGCCAGTGACTCAGCCCCTGCAACAGGGTTAGAGGCAGAGAACCCCAGTGGAGAGGGGAACCGGCCTGGCAGAGACAGCAAGGGCTGTTCGTTGCTCCAGAGCCTTTCCGTTCACCTTCACACTCCTGGGCCAGACTACACTCAATCATATGACCTACTGAAGAGATAAGTCTTCAGTAAAGACTTAAAGGTTGAGACCGAGTCTGCGTCTCTCACATGGGTAGGCAGACTGTTCCATAAAAATGGAGATCTATAGGAGAAAGCCCTGCCTCCCGCTGTTTGCTTAGAAATTCTAGGGACAATTAGGAGGCCTGCGTCTTGTGACCGTGTGCCCAGACTTTTTGTCCCTCTTTCGGATGATATTGGCTTTTTCTATTCACATAATACACTGTAAATAAAAATGGAATTTTGTCACAAACATGTCTTTATGTGCGGTTTACAGTGTAGTGTCATTTTTACATGGTAGGAGCCCTATATCTTCAAACACCGTGATTCAATTGGGATTTTGTCAGTAATTTTTTTCATTCCAAGGATAGTAGCCATCTCAGTATCAAATACCAGTATCTACCAGCACGTTGCATGAATGAATGCCAGGTGTTTGGCCTGGTACATAATATTCCATAGACAAACATTGACCAGGCAGACTCATTTGTGAGGACTTTGAACACAGTCATCAATGTTGGTCAGAGCATGCCAGTCTGTCAGTTATGTGGTGAAGGCCAACTGAAACATCACTTACTGTTTCTCAATCCATCAGCTGGAAGATGCCCATCAAGTGTGACCCTTCACTCAGTGGCATGGATGCTAACTGTTGGGTGGTAAATGTTTAGAC